GAGATATTGATATGCAACACAGAAATCTCAGATAACCGTTGTACAAGCTACTTATCCAGTCCCGTCCTGTCAACTAGGAATATTGAAAACGACCTTAAGTGAACAAATTAAAAAAACTTGTTTTCTTCTTTGATTTTTACCTTGAATTGTTTTTTTTTCATTCCTGATCATCTTTAAATGTGTTTTTAGAACAAACAATGTACCCACATGAGGAATGGACAAATAACCCTGCCATACCATACGGTATACCTACCTGTTAGTCTGGCCTATGATTTGTTTATAGTGAAAACAACTATCAAAAAGGTTCAAGTAGGTAGCGAGCTTAGTATAAATACGTGGTTGTCAGCCACTCAACTGGAAGTCGGTACTACATAAAATATATGTGCTGTGATGTTTAGGAAAACATTTTGAAGTTCATTTAGTATCAATGATCAATATCACCAATACCAGTAAATATTACCGAGAATATTACGTTTCAATCTTAGTTCTCAGGTCCCTTGGTTCTTGCACTTCGGAATGAGAACCAAAAAACAGTTGATGAAAATTCTCAATACATCGTCGGGATGAATGGCCCACGAACATGACCTTGCGGTGCTCACAATTGAAATATTGATCCGGTTAGTTTTCTGGACGCGAAATTGCTCTTTTATCCCACGGTATCTAATGACTAAGCCAAGCATCGGTCGTCGACTGGTAAACAAAGTGATGATAGTAAATTTGAGATGTGTGGCGCGAAAAGGAAAAAAACGCCGAGAACGCAAAACAGTAAAATATATTAAAAAGTCTCATGCCGCCGTAAGGGAAAGCTGAGAGGTGTTTACACAATAAAAAGTCGAATGCACCTGTGCATATAATATAAAGCGACCTGAGCGTGCAAGACCTATAAAAATATACAGGGTGGTCTAGTTCGAAATTAAGTAGGTATCGGCACAGAATACCCATTTGAACGGCTACCTCTTGCTATACAGGGTGACAAACAAACTCCATACTCCCAATTTGATGAGGTTACTATGTATTTCCATCCGGCGGTCTATCTGTCATATACCCGGTTCAATGGTTCAATCTTCAGAGTAAAGAAAATTGCACCCGAATACGTGGAATTTTCGCGAAAATATTCAATGTTGACTTTGGAGCAAAAATGTGCTTGATGCGGTTCGACTGATCAGCAGTTTATTTGGGTCTGTACTATTTGAGGCTTATCACGTTAGTATATATATACTACTGAGAGCCCTTGGCAGTATATGTCAGATACATTGAACAATAATCATTTCCATTATATCAACGCCATGTATAATGTATACTGTAAGGATGCTAAACGTCCTCGTATGCATTGTTTCGAATCGATTGTGCTATCAAAAGAACAACACAAGAGAGGCTACCTCTTATTTCCTCTCGTATAGATCTGTCAAAGAGTAACGAGTAGTTAGCAAATAGCGATAGCATACTCGCCCACGATATACAATGAGATAATGTTTTGTGATCGGAATGGTGCCTACTTTGTTAACACGTTCGTTGATATGTCAACGTGGGCATAATGACCATCAGAACCAGAACCCAGATCACATCTCATCTATTGTATCGTGGTTCTGTGCTTCTAGTGGATCGTGATTTGTACAGTGCTTTCGTAAAGTACTGAATAAATTCATTTTTTCAATTTTGACATGAAATTCGACACTTTTCAAAGCTGACGGAAGTAAAATATTTCCTAACTAGTGATGAAATAATTATGTAACCATCTAGTGTATTTATAAGGCCGATTAACGATCGAGATATTTTAACGTACGAGCAAAGCGAGCGCGTTAATGCTCGAGATTATTAATCGCCTTATCAATATACGAGTTGGTTACAAAATTTTTCCATCTACTTTTCTTCTGCGATGAAGAAAACTTAGTTCGCGTATTCATCATTCATCCAGAAACTACTAACAATTGCTCAGTAGCCTTGAAAGTCACGAGCATCTCGGACCAGGACCGTTACATGGGAGTTGGCTTCATTCTGTTCTGGGGGAGTGTATAATCTCTGTGATGGAGGAAGGATAGTATCATTTTAAATGTAGCCGATAGTGATTGATTGTTTCAATAATATTTTCGTTTAAGATCGAGCTCTATTTGAGAAATTTCAATGTGTGAATAATAAAACTACTACATTCATGACCAGTCATAATGAAGCCAACTACCTACCCTCTTCATTCCTACTCCGAGAAGACGATTGAAAACGAACTTGTCATTGACATTAGTGACATTTGACATTTGTCGAAATAATCAGTATGGCAAATGAATTCCTTCTGTTAGGTATCACAGGGATTGAAATCATTTCAGAAACGTTGGAAGAAATCCATATTTTTGATTTTAATGCAGATTCCGTAAGTTATAGTGCATACAATAAATGGAAGCGGTGTATGTCTGGTTGCCTATACAAAAATGGTGCATGAAAAGACAAATTGATCATTAATAAGGATCATCAATGATCAATTCCATAAACTTTAAACATACACGTTAATACGAAATTCAGAATTCTTATCACCCTGTATCTGTTCCGATTGAATATCAGTGAATAGTTAATCAAAAGTTGGGATGGGGATATTTGAGCCGTTTTGGCCGATAATGAATAGTTTCGACACAAACAAATCCTAAAGTTGAAAAATCTCGATTCTGAACACCCTATATCTCTGTAATCATTTCCGATAGACCCCAAGTGTGACGTATCGATGAAATCAGCTTTTCGGGGAGAATCTAAAAATGCAATAAAATACAGGGTATTCTATTTGAAATAACAAAGTTGTTGCTACTTTTTGATAGAAGCGGTAACACTGCATAGATGAAAATATTTTAAATAAAGAGAGCATATTCTAAAGTATAAAAGGATGTTTATTTTCATGAATTTCTCTCGTCGTGACATGCCCTGTATATTTTTTAGATTCCGCAAAATTGACAAAAGTAATTTGAACCAAAAAAATTCAACAAAATAATTTTGTTGGTGCAACAAAAACTTTTTTCCGTGTACAAAAGTTTTCAATTATAATCCTGTTTCACGGTCCGAAGAAAGTTACTAGCTTCTGTTACCTTACCATCGATCATATTACTTATTATCAGACGTGAAATTGCGCGCATTCTTACAATTTCTCGATACATTTCCGTTTAGAATGGTGAAAAGATGGCGTTGCAGTGCGAAAATGACTACCGATAAACGACAGGCGCTTTACGGAGTACGTGCAAATACCACAAAGCAATCGCCTGCCAGTTTCTCAGGCACATTTTTATTACCCGTCAAATTGAAGGCATTCCGTCACGAAGATCGAAGCAACGGCTTAGCGTCGTTTCCGTACTCGGAATAACTTTACAGGGTGTCAGTTTGTAAACGAACAGCATTCAAATTGCTCACTATGTCAATTCTTTTCATCTCTCTGTGGTCACTCTAAAATGTCATTTGTCTATCTCGAATTTATATAAATTCAACCATTGACATTGACACTTTTGTCTCTGTCGGCAATATTATTGTAAGGTCAGGTATTTGTCAGACTTCTATAGGATCTCCACGTGCTCGTCTTCAGACCCGAACAAAATTGTATAATATGTAATTTTTGAAAAATATTTTTAAAACCCATTGTATGTACTTATTTATTAAATACATGTGTGCTCTTATTACCGTTTGTAGGTACCATATGGTGATTGGGTTTTAACAATATTTTCGAACACCTTCCATATATCTTAGTTACCTCTCAACTTTTAGACACAATGAAAACGGATATTTATAATGAAGCTTTATATGTGGGGAAACAGAATATGCGTATTGATTTATATCATCATAAACGTTGGTATTCATAACAGTTCTATTCAGAATTGTTCAAGCTCAATGAAAATCATATGATAGTTGACATTACTCAGAATTTTCAATTTTTCAATCCAAAAATGAATATCAAACCGTATCAAACCATTATAATCTCGATTTTAATCAAATAAGTAAATTTTGTGGTGATGACTTCTGGTTTTTTATGTATGGAATGTCATTTTCTCTATATAAAAATATTCTGGCAAACTTGCTCTATATTTCCTTTCACAAAAAAGTAGGAGAGTAATGTGAAAACCTCAAGTCTATCTCCAAATGAAGATGAAATACCTATCTCGGAAAAGTACCGTAAATGGGCGTGTACACGTTGTTCCTTTTATACATAAATAATGATTGACGACATAATTCGATCGAAAAATTAACTGGAATGTTTTATTTTTGGACATAAATAATAGTACCTTCTGAAAACGGACCCTCTTATGACGTAGAAACCTCATCTCGCCATAGTTAAAAGAAAATACCAAACGCCCGACGGATGCTGAGGCAACTGATATATTAATTCTTTCAACTGTGATCTCGCGCTAATTCAGTCTGTCAGAAATCATGTATGATTCATCTCTGTCTGGAATAGTCTTGTTTCAGTATTAGGGTTTTGACGTCACATCATCGCCTCGTTTTCAGAGGTCCGAAAAATCGGGGATTTCAATAATTTTTTATAAAACCATTGAAAAATTAGCGATCTGTTATTTTTAGACGTTCGGCTACTACCTAATAGGCAGAATGTTCGCCAAATACGTTGACCATCTATCGTGTAATTAGATCTGTGATAAAACGTAGGGAGCTCACAGCAAGAAACGGTTTGCGGTGGTGAGCTAGTTTGGGTGAGTTCTATCGAATTATGAAATAAATTTTTTTTGTGACATTGCCAACACTGTATACGATACAGTTTCCGAGTATTGAACATAACCAGGAAATGTGAATAAAAGCAACATTGTCTCGAAAGATAATATGAGTAGTTTTATACTAATTAACAATATTAATATGATCTAAACCCACAATCCATTCATTAATAGAACATTGCCGTATTCAACGTGTTCCTTTTGTTGTGTTTTTGATTTATGTGTGAGAATGGAACTGGACATTTTTATCTTGCAATTAACTACAGGAGTTATGATAATGCGACGTCTAACGAGAATTTATTTCATTCTTTTCAGAGGTCGTTCACCCTCATCCTACAGGCAGTGGACCACAACAATTTGTCATCACCTGGTGAGTACCATAAAATTATCAAAGACCAAATCCAAACAACAACTCCTCTTCAAATGGGTACTCCAGAATATTCAAAAGCGCTCGAATATTTTAGTGACAATTAACTGACTGGTTGAAGCTCATTGGCTACCTTCAACAGAACACTAAACTGACTAGTGAGTGCTACTTGAATGGATAATTTTCCATGTAGGACGTAAGCTTTTTATCTATCGCTAGCATATAAGAGACAGTCTCAATATATCTTATTCTACTGAACGAAAATTGTCACTTATAATATCACGAGAGTTTCAATTATTTCCGGATATTAATTGGAGCTAAAGAGGTATTCGGTAAGAAAATTTCACACTGAAATATTGTACTGCAAGTATACCTACATAATATTATATGGTGAACTGTTGATAATAGTAGATTGTTTTATTAGGATCAAAAGTGACACTTTGTTTGACAAGCGAATTTTGCATTTGCGAGGCGGAGCGTTTAGCGAAGCCGAGCGAAAGCAAAATTTGCGAGTCGAACAAAGTCACTTTTGATCCGAATGAAACATGCTATTTTTTCTGCAACCGAAACAATTAACTCAAATAAACATGTGAAGTAACCACCAATGCCGTGCCATATGTATGCAATGCAACAAATATTGAAAAATAATCCGTGTGGTGAGAACATTCTACCTGCATCAACAGCAGGTTCATTCAATTTTCAAGGATGTTCGAATTGTAGTTTCAATATAAATACAATCACAGAGTGACATATTTGTGTATGGACCAGGTGCTCTAATGGCAAATACCGCGTCAGTGCCAGCTATAGAAACAAGATTTGGAAAATGTTAGGTTAGTGAGCACATCAACAATAAGAAAAGCAATTATTTTTTCCTCTCCGTAATACAATGTTTGTCGCTTGATAATCGATTGAAGGTTAACAATATCGTTGTTTGAGACAGAAAGCTATTGCTTGCCGTGATTATCCAAAAACAAGTTATCCATCCCGAGAATAACGAATGAAATACAGATCAAGCAAGTATTTGAATCTTGAAGGCTTACCTGATCAAAACAAAAATACTCAACTGAGATGTTAATAATTCCAACACTAAACTATAATAAGGTGTATTTATATCTCCAGCATGGGTATGAAATGCCAAATCTGCTGAAATCGGGAACAAATCAGGTATGCCTCTCAACCCAAATAACCAACCGTCACAATGTTGTTTATTCTTGATGACGTCCAGTAGATCCTTTTTAGTTCCTAGGAACTAAATATGTTGCCTAGCAACATACCTATTTTTGTGTCAGTAATAGAAACGTCAGTTTAAGAGCTAATTTTGGTATCAAAATGGACGACTTTTGTGTCGGTTGCAGAAAAAAGTCATTTAACCTATGAACGTCAAAAAATATCCAGTGTAATTGCAAACTCCGTCCCCCCAAGGAGGAGGAAAAAATTTCCAAGAAATTTGTTTAGTCGCTATGGTAACGATACGAAATACTGGCTTCAAATTGATCGAAAATGTTTGGTGTGAAATTTTCTATAGAATAAATTAGGTCTTCAATTTTACAGAAACAAACGTACAAAGTAGAATTTGAGTCATTTTGCAAATAAAATATATTTATTATGAACATTTCACGCTTTTTTGAGAACAAAAATTGTCAAGTTTTGAAGAAGCTGAGAAAACCATAGTATTTTGGCTTTTTTATGTCTTGGGCGCACGAAAGAGAATCCCTATTATGTTCGAAGAATATAGTGCGTACCTATAGGGAGGCTATAGGAATTGGATTTTTTTTCAACTGTTGGAGATTATAACTACTTGGGAGTAATTCCTTCGGAAATGCAATTCAAAGATTTTTCGTTTCATATAGACAAACAAGTTTTGGTAAAAAGTTGTTCGACATATTTTGAGGTTGACGATAAAGGTATGTGCTGACTGGGCTTCTCAAGTATGTCTCGTTATGGAATGATAGCAGAGGTTTCGAAGAAAATTTCCTGTAAAAGTATATACAGTGTCATTCATAAAGTTGACACCATATTATTATGGGAAAAAAGTTATTTTTTTCCAACCGGAATAGAAAATGGATTTTCTCTGACACTTAACAGGCAGAACACAAATTGAAGGAGTTTTCAATAAAAAAATTACACATCAAAATTGTTTTTATAACATTTGGAGAAAAAATGTATATGTTTCACACGACAGCAAATGTAGATTGACTAAATTCAAAATTTGAAGGAAGCTACGACTAGCTTTTTGGCCACCTGGTACTTTGAATTCATCCTTCGTTGCGCCAATACAAATCAAAATAATGGTTTCGGGAGAAAAACAACTACTTTACTGGCTAATGCCACACAGAACATTGAATTATATACTTCCGAAATCTATGCATCGACTCGTATAAACGAATACTGATACAAGTGATTCTTTCCTGAATGCATATTGATTCCGATTTCGATTGACTTTGAGCTTCTCTTATTTATTTAACATTTTCTCTTTTCTAAACACTCTGAAATATCATCGATTGATCCTCGTAATGTAAATACAATGCACACTGGATGTAATAATGCTTATTCTGTTCGCACTGTGTCACTGATGGTTGTTTTGTTGTTTACCTTGCATTGTGTGGTGAGGTTTATTATAAAACAATTTGAGGACCTTTTTACGACTCCTTTTATGGAAAACGGTGACAGTTTTACGATACGAGCACTCACCAGAAGGTTAGAAAAACGTTGCGGTCACGTCAAATCGATTGTCGTAAATTATCGCATGCTGGTGCGGTACAGAAGTGTCTGTTTTTCGTTTTTGGATGAACACTTCTGGTCTTTGCTAGGGCGGGAAATGAAATTGGGCAGATGCGACTGAGGGTGGATCAAATCCCATGCTAATTGGTGATTGACTGTTATCCATGATATTGACTAAGATATTTGAAAAATTGGATGGACGACTTCTGAACCATTCTTAACTTTATTTTCTACTTTGATATAGATACGCAGAGGGTGGTGTAATAGTATTATTGTTTAACGAGCATGGAATGATAGTATTTTTCCAGGAGTTATACACTTTACTTTTTCTACGACTTCAACATATACAGGGTGTCCCGAAATTACATAGAAATAATTCAAACACCAGATTCTAGGAGCAAAAATAGTAAAAAAAAGTTCATATATGAACATGAGTACATAAATGGCCCCCTAGGGAGTTATAGCCATCTGGCAGTGGGCTGAAGATGATGATTTTTTGTAAGTATTTCCGAAACACTCTGTGTTGAGATAAAAAAATTTTGTACGTACATATTACTTCTCATGCCCGATTTGTAAATGTAATTTTGTTTCGAAATTTTGATCAGGGGTGTGGTAGATTGGTGATGCTGAGGGCATTCCTTCCCCGAACCTTTTTATTTATGCAATTTTCGGCAGTTTGACTTGAAAATGATATTCCAGTTTGGTTTCGATAGCATTCTTTCCTTAAAATAGGGTACCAAAATTTCCCAAAAATTATTTTTCGATAGGAAATTGTTGAGACTGTACAATATTTCTGTCGCCATAAATCTGACCTGTCAATTTAGGGTCGTACCCAGCCGGAACTTTCGAGATGTGTGGAAGATAGAGTTAGTCTTTTTTCGAGAGTTCGACAAATAAATATTTGTCAAAACAACCAGCGATTTATTTAGTAACAGTCCACTACAACAGAAATACCATTTTTTCAACATCTACTTGTGATGTTTGACTCAAAATATGAGAGGAACGATAAGAAGAATAATTTGAAAAATATTATGGTATGTACCCCATTTTTAGTACGCAGGAGACTTTTAAAATCGATTCATCTGGAAAATGGTGAGTGCAATCGGAACGTTTTCATATTTTCTGATTAAACTGCCGAAAATTGCAAAGATAAAAATGTTGGGGGAAGAAATGGCCCTAGCCCCATGCCCTTATTACAAAATTGTGTTATCTCAAGACAGATGGTTCAGAAAATATTTACAAGAAACTGTCAACTCAGGTCCTTTTTCAGATGGCTATAACTCCGCAGGGGGATCATGTTTATTTGAACTTTTTTACTATTTTTGTTCCCAGAATCTGTGATGAAATCTTCCTATGTATGTACTTTCGGGACACTCTGTATAATAGCGAAATGATTCAAGTTTTCATCAAAAAAATCTTTATTGACATCATTGACCATGCTCTACTACGAACCACCATGTAGTTACTGTTGAAATCAAGATCAAAATCACTTTGTATAAACTGAAGTTGTTGAAGCAAGATGCCAGTAGTTTTTGATTTGTAATGTCATCGATTGTAAAATAAAAGTTTGAATATAAAAAGTTGATGATGTTTACCAAGAAGTTCAAAAGTCAAACTTCGAAACTGCTGAGTATGTCACTATATTATAAAGCAAAAATAAAGCCAGTATTCCTGTTTATTTTGTTTCATTTTTGTCGTCCATTAAATTTTGATTAAATCATTAATTCTAGAGATAATGAGGAAATTTGTTTGGTGTTATTTCCGAGTTATTTCTATTTGTTTCTATACACGGTGCGTAATTTTATGATTTTGGCGAAGTTTCATCATCAGGAATGGCGAAAAATTCCATTTGTTTCACCATTTCACCAATTCATTTTTTGGAATTTTCTCTCCTCGTTTCTATAAATAAAAACATGAGTATCATTTCAACAAACGTGTAGTTAGTACAAATCAGATGATGAATTTATCAGAATATGTTGAAGAATAATGGAAGCGACAGCTCATTTCCAACGGTGTAAAGTTGCAAAAGAGAATAATTATATATTTTTGTTTTTTCCACCTAACATGGCACTTTGTTGCAATGTAACGAAACCAATATATTATGTAGTATTGTCTTCTCTCTTAGTGAATCATAAAATATGCCAATTTATTCACGAAGAAATAAGTACCATCAAATGAAGATTAAATCAGGAGGTCTGGAATATCGCTATGTGCTTTGTAAATAGTAATGGCGAATGAAATAGTGCTGATGGTAAATTATAGATACGATTTATTTATCTGTAATGGTCGTTAAGAATGTCCTGTGTTGTGATGGGAAATATCCACGGAAATAATATGTCTAAAGGATACACAGATTCAAGACTTGTTTCATTTATATAATCGCATATAAATAGTCAGTCGAGCGTTTCAAAGTCAATTAGGTTGGCAGATCGTTGAAAAATTCAAGAAATAAGTGGCTGGATACAAAGCAAAGCATACTATACGGTTAAAAGGACTACACGTAATCTTTGTACAGTCGTCTTCAGAGATCATGTCGCACATGGACGGTGTCAGCTCCCTTGATCACTGCTGCAATAAAAGCGCTCGTACCATCCAACCGCGACATGTTCGCTGAAGACGACTGTACTGACGATTTGGTACCTTTGGACACGAAACAATTCGCAGCTTCTGATTCCAAAGATAACAGTTTTTCTACGCAGGATATTCAACCAACATATACAGGGTGTCCCGTAAAGACCTCGTCAAACCTAGGATAAAAGATAATCCACCTGCTATGGCAAAATTCCCATTATAAAAGTCTTACTGTAACACCGCCAGTCAGTCAAAAGTCATGAAATTCTATAAAAAGTGTTGATGAATGAGTGCGAAAAAATTTAGGATGTGATTCGTTCATTTCTGTCATGTCTGTGACAATGATGAAAAAAAAACTCGTTATCGTGGCTGATGACAAATACTCAATTTTCATTCGATTTTCCTTCGGTTTTCGGTCATTTCTACGCCACTGGTTTGCTACTGGTGACCCACTCGCCGCGTGCGCAAAGTGATAATTTTTATCGAAATCAAAGAAGGACGTTTCTCGTCGGCTTGAGCAATATCCCTGCAGCAGTGTAGGTCTCAGAATGATTCATCGGAAGTTGCATGAATGGAGTCTCACGACTATCCTAAGGGTGTGTGTGTGTGTCTCGAATCAACTGTTGTTGTAGGAGGCAAAGAAGGAATACAATAATGAGACAGTGTCGTACACTAGAAGGGTATAGCTGGAACTTTTTTTTTGCGACCGACACAAAATTTTAATACCAAAATTAGCTCTTGAATTGACGTTACTATTACTGAAACAAAAATAGGTATGTTGCTAGGCAACACATTTAGTTCCTAAGGTGAACTTTAGCTCCTAGGAACCGAAAAGCATGTATACTATATAATCATGTATTTTTGTTTTGATCAGGGAAGCCTTCAAAATTTACATACTTGCTTGATCTGTATTTCATTCGTTATTCTCGGGATGGATAACTTTTTGAATAATCACGGCCAGCAATAGTTTTTTGTCTTAAACAACGATATTGTTTACCTCCATTTGATTATTGAGCCAAACACAGTGGACTATGGAGATAAATAAATAATCGCAATTATTATTGTTGATATGTTCACTAACCTAACATTTTCCACGTCTTGTTCCTATCCTATTCCTGGCACTGGCGCGGTATTTGCCATTAGAGCACTTGGTCCATACACAAAATAAATATGCCATTCTGTGGTTGTATTTATATTGGAACTACAATTCGAACATCCTTGAAAATTGAATTAACCTGCTGATACTTTACATATTTATTCGAGTTAATTGTTTCGTTTTCAGAAAAAATAGCATGTTTCATTCGGATCAAAAGTGACTTTATTTGATCCGCAAATCTTGTTGACTTCAAGGACAGCTGCGATAGTGAAAGAAAATATACTGAAATGATTTTTTGATTTGAGGAGTTGAGTTTGAAATGAAGAATTTCTTCCTGTATGAAAACTAGAGTAAATAAGTTACGTTATGATAATTCTCTCTCATGATCGTAGCTGACCTTGAGGACGATAAAATATCACATCAATAACGAAAACCGTGGTGTGAAGTGTGTTGAGAACTATTTTTGGGCGTCCATATCATTTTGGAGTTTTGATATAAGTATGTCCTATGATTGTTGTTGAATATGTGTATTCCCACATACTCAATCCTATACTATTTACCATACTTGAGATGCAAGATGTTCTTTGAAACTAGTTTTGATGAGTCTTCTAGTCTGGCCTACATTATGTATTTTCAAAATCGTCATTTCACCTAATTTCGTATATTCCTGAATTCTTCGAGTATATTTTTATTGCATTTTTGAGATTGCCTGATGAATTACCTCTTGATTCAGATTGTCTTGTCTCTAAAACCCATAGACCAAGTCATCTTTTGAATTCGCGGAATTGAACGGAATTTTGATTGTTCGTGCATAGTTCTTTCGCCCAATCCTGGTGGATATCCCTTGTGAATCAAACCACTTAATAACCGAGATGTGAATGAAAGCATCAATGGGATTTTCACTTCAAAAAGATCATTCCCATTTGGTATGACGATAAAAAGGTACCTCCTTAAAAGAAGATACCACTCAATACTACTATATACTATAGCGTACTACAGAGTTGTAGTATAGGCCGAAAATGGTTTTCGTCCTTGCCCTGGGACACCCGTAATTGGTATTCTTATTCGTTGGGAGTCGTTTTTGCAAGCGCATGCCAGTGGCGTAGCGTATGGGCCTCTTTTTTCGAAATAAGGTGCTGTTTCTGAAATTGGTTGTTTCGTTAGTTTATACTTGAAAAAAAATCAAAGCATAAAACAACAGGTAATTTGTAAGAAATACAGGGTGTTTCGGGAAATGTGGTCCGTGGCTAGGATAATAAGTTGGGTTTGCTCAGAAAAAAATTGGCAGGTATACATAATTCTGGTGACAACGCATCATGAAATTTTCATTAGAGGAAGAAATAAAATGGCGGACGAGTTTTGTAATTACGATCCGATTCTATTCCAAATTGGTATCTGGGGATTTTTGCGACCGGAGATTATGATTCTTCCGTCGAAATCGAGAAATTCAGAGTGGCAAATTCAAAATGGTGGATAAGTTTTGTGTTAATGATTCGATTCTATTAAAAATTTGTATCTGGGGGATTTCGGAGCCAGAGATTATGATTTTTCCATCAAAATTGAGCAATTCAAGATAGCGACTTTTAAATGATAGATACTTTTTGTGATTATGAACCGATTCTATTCAAAATTGGTATCTAGGGGTTTTTGGGGTCGGCAGCTATGATTCTTCGGTCAAAATTGGAAAATTCAAGATATCGGCTTCAATATGGCGGATGAGTTTTGTGATTATAGTCCGAATATATTCAGAATTGGTATGTCGTAGTTTTATTGTCAGATTGTTTTATAATATTGCCTTTTTAGAAGCTTGGTTGTAATCCTGTCAGCACCACGGAGTCCTAGAAGTGGTTCGGAATCCATTATAAGCTGTAGGTCCCGCTCTTCCTTCAACCCCGCACAAGTTTCAACTTCAATTTTACGAATTTTCAAAATTTATAATTCGTTTTTTTTTTGTTTTTTTTTCAGCCACCAACAACATAATAGAAGAAGCCACCTACTCGGGCATCATCGACCCCAGTCCCGAATGGCACACGCTCAACCACCGCGGTCAGAGGGCGCGCTTGACGTACAGGGTGCGCGTCAAATGCGACGTCCACTACTACAACAGCACGTGCACGAAATTCTGCCGGCCGCGGGACGACGCTTTCGGCCATTTTGTTTGTGACGCCAGCGGCGAGAAGCGGTGCATCGAGGGATGGAAGGGCGCGACGTGCGAGACAGGTAAAAAAAAACTGAAAAGAAAAGTCATTTTTCCACTATAGAGTCTAGCCATAGCAACATAGCGAGGTAATATTGTGCCTCGCTCGCTGCTCGCTGAGCGCGAGAAACAGAAAATTTTCGGCCGATCCTGAGAAGACACATAATTGAAATAGCGAATCACTATCGGCCTAACCAATAAATGCCTCCATAATATTTTTTCGATTGATTACTTGGAAAAAAATGTTTAAAAAAGATTAGCTGGAGTAGGGATCGAACCCCGGTCTTTTCGTTCGAACACTACTCTAATGACCACTACGCTTCTGGCAAAACAAACTACAAAACAATTTTATACGCTCTTGACTTGCCACCGTGGCAATATATCCCGTGTAGTGGTGCTATGGCTAGGCTCTGATATTTTTCTTCGAACCCATCCAGACAAACCAAGTTAACATTATGATGACGTCACGGTTACTTTATTATGACGTCACGGCTTATCAGCTGTTTTTGTTCATTGTTTGGTATTAGTAGTATATAGTTTTAGTCTTCATACCACCACATTGCATCTCCTCGCCATTTATCAGACTTGTAACTGACAGCTAAGCTGATAAAGATATAGAAGTGACGCTTTGGTTCCGAAAACGACAAAAATTTATTCATTTCTGCAGATTAAAACACCACCACCAGATCTGTACAGATGGGGAAATGCTATTTTGACTAATTTTCTCAAGCAGATGCTTTTTTCTCTTCAAACTTTCAAAATCGAATGAAAACATTCTCTGAATAATAATTATAATAGTTAAATATATTTGCGTCAAAACAAAAGATATACGAACAAGAGTAAACATTGAATGCTGATATATGAATATTCTTGTCAGCTTAAAAAATCTAATGTCGATGTTGTTTCTTGTTACAGCTGCCTGTAAAGCTGGATGCCACCCAATCCATGGGAAATGTGAGAACCCAGGAGAGTGTATGTGAGTATCAAACCCCAAGATTATCCCTAAAACATCATCTTATCAGTGCCCATTCTATTTATTCGAATCTTCCTGTCATTGTTGCCCACGAAATCCATTCACAAACTAATAGATTTGAAGACTGAAGTTCTCGCTTCAAAGACATTCAGAATTTTCTAATTCATACGATTGTCAAGAAGGGCCCTACGTTGGGCGCCAAATTTATAAAAGTCCTAACAAGTAATTTTGCTGCTGCTGAGTTGATGGTAGCGTTCGCTTCTAAGACACTCCGAATAATGACGTTTCATCCTAAGTGCTGCAAGGTGGGCGCCAATTTTCTGATTCATAGGATTGTCAAGAAGGGCCTTACGTTGGGCGCCAAATTTATAAAAGTCGTAACAAGTAATTGGTAGCGAAAAATGGTAAACAATGTTAATTTCGTATCGTCAATGACCGTTTCGCTGTGAGAATCGTTGCTCTGGAATGTGCATTGCACCAGACCCTATATTAAATTCTTGCCTCAGCTTGTTGAACAAGAAGACGCAATCGTCGATTAGAAATTCAAATATTCCACGAGAAATTGGGCATGGTGGAAGAGGTATTCTGGGTATTCGATTGATGGGTGAGTGCAGCTCGATTCGTAATTAACTTGAAGTATTCGAGGTCGTTTTGACGAAATTCTGCTGAAATTATTCCAATTATTCATCCAGCCTCATCGGATTATGAATATTTCTGCTTTTCGTATTAATTGGATCATGATAGTTTCTACAGAGACTATATCTCCTATCCATAATTTTAAATACTTCAGAATCGAAGAGATTCCAACAACATTCTCAGAACACATGTTCCGCTAACACATTAGCATCTATAAAAGCATTCCTCTATTGACTACATGAGAAATTACAAAATTGTCATCTTAACTATGATTTTCTTCTGATAGCGTATAAGGTGACTTTATTGTTTTCATCTTCTAAAAACCCATTCGATGTTCATGAATGCGTTGGTTATGCGTTTTTCCTATCTGACCAATATATACCATATATTATAGGTATAAAGTTCACATTTCAGCTCGATTTCTCGAATTTGAAACTTTTTTTCGGCGAAGAAGGAAAGTTCCAAGTTATTGTCTCCTTTAACGAATCTAAATGTCAAAACATTATTGGACTAAATAATCTCATCCTCAGTGAGTAATGCATAATTATTATGCAAACGAGAACATGATATCAAAAAAATGAGTGATTAAAGTAACTCAACTTGCTTTACTTATTACTAACTATATGAGGAGAAATTTTCTTCAACATATTGCATTCTTTAAACTATTGCATTCTTTGCTATAGTACTCTCTGTATATGCCTTAACCTTCTTGTTCGAGCAAAATTCTTCGATACGCATGAGACGTAGTGTTAATTGAAAATGATTAATCATTTAACAATCAGAGAGAGACGGAGATCAAGAAGGCATCGGTTAAATGGCGTCTAACTTTGTTTTTATAACAATTACAAGTTTTCAGGAAATGTTTTATGAAAATTCAAGTTATGCGTGTTGGCGTCTTATCTAGTATTGAAGTCTCCAAGCACAATGAAGATTGTTTTTGGATGTACGAAACATTGATATTCATCATACAGGGCGTGGAAAGAAATTTTGCGATTGAAGGTCTATAAAAATAACAAGTTGATTGGGTGAAAGTATTGAAAAGGAATATTCTCAGATAAATTAGGAAGCTGGAAAAATGGACATATATAAAAAAAAAATACTTACATTGAGAATTCGCATTCGCGAGGTGATGAAAATATCAATTCTTTCGCGCGTTTGATTCAACAGAAAACAACTACCTTTCTGATGGCTATATGCCACGACGAACATTGAATTTTATCTATTGAACACACGATATGAATTTTGTAGGTACGTTTGTACATCCAACTATAAGACAATATATACCTTTTACGTTTACTACAAATGAGTATTCTGTCATTTGGACGTTGGACGTCAGTCAAATTATCAACTGTAATACATCGTTGAAGTTAGAATTGATTTGACTTGATATATCAACAAAAAATTTATAGGGTGTCTTCTGAAAAAGTGAAGTTGGGGTGGTTTTTCAGAGGTAGTATGACAGCAGTTGACTTTGAAGTAATGGCTCCGAAGTTCAATTTTGAAAAAGTTTTTTTGAAGCAGCATAACTGAGATATTAGCTGTATGAAAAAATCTGGGACACCCGGTATACAGCGTGTCTCACCTTAAACGGCCTCCTTTCAGTATCTCAGCTATTATGCGATCCTTACCGAATTCGGAATATTGATAATTGTGTGAATATAAGTATTTTCACACGAAATGCCATTCTGCTTGGTCATTGATACTTCATGTAAATGCCCCACGTTGGGTGCCAAATATCAAAATTCATTTGACGCGTTTGACATCCGGCTGGTCATAATGGAAAAATTGGCCTCAGCAGGGGACCTTTTATTTCGATTTTTACGAGTTGAAGCTCGCATAATATAATATATATAAATCCGAACAGCCGAAATCGTGGTGACGAAATTTTTTAATGAAAGGCTTCGCGGCAGCATTTTTCGACTTTATAGCTCGAGCGTGAAAAAATCAGGTTAATTGGCGGATGATTGATGATAATAGTGCTGAAGATCAATAAATTAAATTTAACTACTGACAAAATGATAAAGAGTATCAGTCGGAGAGAAGAGGATGAAAGCCGTCGCTGATAAACGCGCATATATTGACGATTATTACATCGGCTATTACATGTAATGAGACTAGACTTTTTCGCGAAACTCGATTTTAATATATCGGGACTAATACGATAATGATCGAATATATTGGAAGTGTGAATCGGAATGAATCGATACTAATCAATAAAAACAAGAGTTACTTGGTGCTCGTCGTATTTTTACTCTCTAAATATGGTGATTCAGAATATGAACGACAAACTTTGTTTCCATATTTCATAAACGTATATCTCAGATACTTTATAGGGTGAGTTTTTACAATTTCTCAATACTCAGAAAAATTCAGGTATATATGGCTTTCAAACTCAAGTCGGCGCTAACTTGGTTATTTTTGGATCTAAATAGTCAGTTAAATGGGTTTTGGGTATGGGGAAGCTAATTAAAACTAGTCTCATTTTTATAACAGAATCGGAACATGAGATGAAAAAATGAGGTTGCCATTTGAACAAATTGAGATTTTCAATGATTTATATTCACCCACTTTCTTACGCATCCTGTGAATTATTCAGTGGATATGATTATGGTGAGTGATCCGTTCAATCTTCGAAATTCATGATTCAATCACTGCATATTTTGATTTTGATGAAATTTCATTGTACCACTTGTACCAGTATTTGAGAATTTTGTGGAAATCTTATCGTTTGTGAAGTTTCTACATTTCGAATGATTGCAGCAGTCGCCTACGGCTCATGCTGCAATTCTATATTTTCCGATTCATTTCTTCCATTGATTTAAAAAAACATGACTCCATGATTTAGGCAGAGCAATAAAAATAGTATGATGGACTATTTTGTTTTTCATTCACGTTTCGGTATTTATTAATGCCATCCTCAGGGGTGAATTGTATATCACAGCCCTGTCTTGACTTATATTTTTTCTACCTAATAAAGCAAGCAGGTACATTTTATGAACTTGTTTAGGTTAACGAACGAGGAAATGTTCTTTATTTTCAATTACCGTCCCCTATACATGATCTCCCATCAACCCAGACCGATGTATGGTCATGCTAACAATAAATCCGAATCGAAAAAGACCCATAGAACATTTCCGCGAAGATTCATCTATATGGGATTATGGGATACCGTTCTCACGTATCCTCAGTATACGAGTTGCTAATCGAAAACTGATTTACTTCTTCGGTAATTGACGTATACCTGCTTTATGTTAGATACGATTTATCCGACAATTGATATAATTTAATCTGATGATGTCGAGTGAAACATGCTCGCAACACAATATGGTCTGTGAGGTAGGAATTACGATCGAACAGTGATGGAGATAGATAGACATGTTTCAAATTGAAATTTCAAACCGGAGCTTTTCACATTTTTTGTAATACATTTTTCGAGAACGGATGATTTAATGTACAGAGTGAAACTTGCTTGCAACACAATATAGTCTGTGAGATTAGAATTACGATCGAACAGTGTTGGAGATCGATAGACATGTTTCAAATTGAAATTTCAAACCGCTTCTTTTTCTCGAAGCTTTTCACAATTTTTGTTATACATTTTTCGAGAACGGATGATTTAATGTACACAGTGAAACATGCTTGCAACACAATATGGTCTCTGTAGTTAGAATCACGATCGAACAGTGATGGAGATCGATAGACATGTTTCAAATTGAAATTTCAAACCGCTTCTTTTTCCCGAACTTTCTTACATTTCTTGTAATACATTTTTCGAAAACGGATGATGTAATGTACAGAGTGAATGAGTGCTTGCAACACAATATAGTCTGTGAGGTAGGAATTACGATCGAACAGTGATGGAGATAGATAGACATGTTTCAAATTGAAATTTCAAACCGCTTCTTTTTCCCGAAGCTTTTCACATTTTTTGTTATACATTTTTCGAGAACGGATGATTTAATGTATAGAGTGAAACATGCTTGCAACACAATATGGTCTCTGTAGTAAGAATCACGATCGAACAGTGATGGAGATCGATAGACATGTTTCAAATTGAAATTTCAAACCGCTTCTTTTTCCCGAACTTTCTTACGTTTCTTGTAATACATTTTTCGAAAACGGATGATGTAATGTACAGAGTGAAACATGCTCGCAACACAATATGGTCTGTGAGGTAAAAATTACGATCGAAGAGTGATGGAGATCGATAGACATGTTTCAAATTGAAATTTCAAACCGCTTCTTTTTCCCGGAGCTTTTCACATTTTTTGTAATACATTTTTCGAGAACGGATGATTTAATGTACAGAGTGAAACATGCTTGCAACACAATATGGTCTGTGAGGTAAGAATTACGATCGAACAGTGATGGAGATCGATAGACATGTTTCAAATTGAAATTTCAAACCACTTATTTTCCCCGAAGCTTTTCACATTTTTATAATACATTTTTCGAGAACGGATGATTTAATGTACAGAGTGAAACATGCTTGCAACACAATCTGGTCTGTGAGGTAAGAATTACGATCGAACAGTGATGGAGATCGATAGACATGTTTCAAATTGAAATTTCAAACCACTTATTTTCCCCGAAGCTTTTCACATTTTTGTAATACATTTTTCGAGAACGGATGATTTGATGTACAGAGTGAAACATGCTTGCAACACAATCTGGTCTTTGAGGTGAGAATTACGATCGAACAGTGATGGAGATCGATAGACATGTTTCAAATTGAAATTTCAAACCACTTCTTTTCCCCGAAGCTTTTCACATTTTTGTAATACATTTTTCGAGAACGGATGATTTAATGTACAGAGTGAAACATGCTTGCAACACAATATGGTCTGTGAGGTAAGAATTACGATCGAACAGTGTTGGAGATCGATAGACATGTTTCAAATTGAAATTTCAAACCGCTTCTTTTTCCCGAAGTTTTTCACATTTTTTGTAATACATTTTTCGAGAACGGATGATGTAAAATGTACCGAGTGAAACATGCCTGCAACACAATAGGCATGGTCTATGAGGTAAGAATTACGATCAAACAGTGATGGAGATAGATAGACATGTTTCAAATCGAAATTTCAAACCGCTTTTTTTTTCCTGATGCTCTTTACATTTTTTGTATTACCTTTTTCAAAAACGGATGATGTAATGTACAGAGTGAGAACTCACTACCCGGACTAGGCCGGAAAAATCCAACTCAATATAAGGCTGGACATTTTCGATGGATAACCCTGTACGTTGTACAAAAACATTTTTAAGAAAATCAAATGGTTCCACAAATGAAAAGTTTTTTGAGTTACCCTGTACATTAGTGTACCAGGCATAGAAAAAGTCAGATGATATCGAAAGATTCGTGAGGTACCCATCTACCATTAATTATCTGAGGAAAGCAGTAGGCGTTGCCAGAAGTAAAACAACAGAAGTTTGTAATATATAATCTGGCATCGTTCGCTGTTAGATATCGAAATTAAAAGTTGCTATAATGACCTACAATTATATGTGTATATCAGGTTCTTTTCCAATCTAATTCACGCCAAAGGTGAACATGAAATGGGACGAATAGGGATGGTCATTCGAACTATCATACGAATAATCGAGTTCGGTGATTGTTATTTTCTGGTTGTCTAATGCTTATACTATAATTTTTCCTATATACGACTGTTATTTCATTCATCTGCCAAACCTACACATGTATTTGTTCAGGATTCTTGAGAAACTTTTTTCTAGAACTACCATTATTTACCTACTACTTTTCAAGTCTTGAACTGATATTCCACAATCAAGATGCTTTTTCATTCTATTTAAGAAGTGGTTCAATGACATTTCGTCCTGAAGGACTCGTATCCACCTTATGTTAATTTTCTGATCTCAAATCTTCTATTGAATTCAAACTCCAGACAGGCACCCGACTGGAGAATTTGTGATTAAAAGAGCCAACCTACCGTAAAGTCCTTAAAGAGCGTCAGAAAAAAACTATTATAGCTAATGAAGTTATATTCTCTTGACAATAACTATTCGAACGGAAGCAAAAGAAGTGTATCATTCATGCAATGATGGATTAATGCCAATTTGCGGGGACAATAAACTCTGAAAGAAACTGGCTTCACCTTAACGATGTTCAAGCTTTGAACAAGCCATTATCATTAGGCATTTTCCATTTTTGGCTATTATTTCTATAGACCCTGAGACTTGGCGCCCAACGTAGGGTCATCACCAATCATCTTTTTTATTTTATGAATTATGAAATATCATTGAATGCTGACGACTTTTTTTCAGTTGTCGACCTGGTTGGAGAGGAGACTTCTGTGATCAATGCGAGCCGTATCCTGGTTGCAAACATGGCTACTGCAATGGTTCTTCGTGGCAGTGCATCTGTGATACTAATTGGGGAGGAATATTATGTGATCAAGGTGAGTCTTAAACAATGAAAAATAATATGTTCCAACATATGTAGGCCGAACTAGAAGATTTGTTAATACAAGGTTCAAGGAACATCTTGCGGTGTAATAGGTGGGGTTTGGGTTAAATCGACCTATCAGCTTCGAATTTATTACATTACACTTCCCAGCCTCCGCTAGGACACTTAATCACATGCACATGTTCCCAAAACGTGTCAAAGGGTTGGTTTGTAAGTTAGTTAATCACTCTTTCATGAACAGTGCTCATCAGCATTGTGCCTCGTAATTGATAGCGGGGTGAAAAACTCTTGATCAAGTGTAGAATTGTGAATGTTCACTAACGCGTGTCGGGGGGCGAATTTATGTTAAAAAACTCACCCTCTTTTCGCGACACTGCGGTCTAGTTTTCACGGACAATGAGTCCCTCTGGACTATGAGGGTATTTTTTATGTTTTCCCAACAGTTGCTCGAATGTTTTCGTACATCTGGTATGGTCTCATAGGTTTTCTCTGTGGTCCAGAGTGGATGGGAGAGTTATGTTTGAAGTAGTGCTTGAAAAAAAATTTAATGAGTGGGATCAATAGTATATTTTGATATACGTATATCAACACGTGGCAGATTCATTGCGGTAATATTTAGGTTATATGAATAGTATATTCAGAAGTGGGACAGATAATGTTTTTTGTGAATATTGTTCATGCTTTCCACAAGCGATATTACGAAATCTAAATATTGAGAACTTCTAAACAAAATTTTGAATCTGATGGTGTTTTCTATCAAATGGTGCCTTTCGAACATTACATTCCTTCCATAAACAGGATACAGGGAGTGTGAAAATATTTCATCTTTCCAAATGGACGCCTGATATTTTATTGCATATTTGAAAAGTTTTTTTTTTCCGAAAATACATAACTCCCATTCAAATAATCCAATTGAATCTAAATTTTGCTGTGGTTGAGCTGATATATTCGGTATTTTCAATATCTTGAAAAAGAGATTTTCTGAAAATTTCGAATTATTTGTTACGCCCTGTCTCTTTGCGTGCTGTCTCTAGATGCCTTATTTCAGGTCAGATTGAATTCGTGCTGTCAAATATTATTGTGGTTGTGGTGTCATTTGGCTGAAAATTTTTTGCTCAAGTAGAAATCCAATAAAATCAGTTAATTTGTGAACATCTGATTGAACACAACCAATCAAATCAACATTGAACTGAAAACAGATCCCATGGTCTGTTTTCACTATATTATGTTGCTATGGATACATTATGTTTCATTTCGATTTTGACATATCAAATAATTAATATTTCAAAATGTCACGATTTGGCTGTAATACTGATGAGAATATCGATGAAATTATCAAATCAAATATCCCAAAGAATACTGTTTACAGTAAAAAATTTGTATGGAAAGCCTTTATGGACTTCTGCAATGTTAGAAAATATGAATTAGATGGAAATCGGACAGTGGAAGAATTGGCGTCGATTTTAAAGGATTGGGCTGTGAACATGAGAAAAAAAGATGGTACAGAGTTCGAAGAAGCTACTGTTAAAACCATGTGGAACCTAACAAGTAAGCTACTACAAGAAAAATATTATAAAGAAATGCATGTTATTATAGACCCATTCAAAAGCGTTGTATTTCAACAAGCGCGAGCTGCCCGCGATACTATACGAAGAAAACTACAATCGGATCTCTGTAAAAGGAAACAAAGTTCAGCGGCGTTAAGTGCAGAAGAAATAACAAAAATGATAAATTTGTGGGATGAGAATACCCCTGAAGGGCTGCAACGGAAATGTTATCACATAGTCGCCGTTGAATTAGCTTGGAGAGGTGGAGAAGCTGCTGTTTGTTTGACTGACATCTTTCGTATCGAATCAAATAACGATGGTTCTGTATCAAATCGAGTTGAATATAACCCTGTATTCAGCAAGACTTGCCAAGGTGGTTCGAAAATGTGTGCTGACAGCAAATTTTTAGTCGAAAACAACGACAGCAACGTATGTCCCGTCAGGTTATTCAAAAAATTGTTATCAAAAAGGGGCCCAGATATCAAAACGAATAGATTATTTCTAAGAACAAATCGGTACTGGAAAGCCGAAAGTGATCATTGGTATGATAATATGCCCATTGGAAAAAATATGATTCAGAATTGGACAAGAACGTCTGCAGAAGCGATTGGCTTGAAAACCAAGGAGAAAAAAATCACAAATCACTCCAATAGATCAACCGCGATTAGTCGATTGGCCAAAAGTGGTGTACAAGAGCAAGAGCTTATAAAAATTACTGGGCATAACAATCCCAACTCAATAAAACCCTACTTGAATATTGACGAAGAACATCACAATGAAATTATTAACAGAATGCGTAGTGGAAATGCATCTTCATCAATTATAGAAACTAACACGGCTGGATCTTCATTACATTTTTCTAATTGTTCTTTTGTTAATTGCACATTCAAATAAATTGTTTTTGTTTCTGTTCCTATTTTTTTCCGCATTGTCAGCAAAAAATTTTCTATCCGAATAACCCTCGAACATTGATAAATGCTCAAAAAATTTTTAACAACTTTCTCAAGCTTGTTGCTTATAGGCAATAGACCTCCGCCTACGGCGTCGGTCTGTTTCCAAGCAACAAGCTTTCGAAATCTGTTATAAAATTTTTTCGAACAATTATCAATGTCCTTGGGTTATTACTACTGAAAACTGTTTACGAACAATGAAAAAGTCGCCATGTTATTTTTAGTTTTCAAATTTTTGGTAGGTATGCACGGAAGTTTTAGAATTAATTTCTCGAACATGGTATCAGGTATTGAATCAAACTAAGAGCAATTCTTTCTCGTGAAAAATAGCATATTTTACATATTTTTGCCTGTCTGGTTCTGTTCCAGCCCACCTTTCTCCTAGTTGTGGCAATATGTGACAACAATTAGTTCAATTATTGACAGTTGCTACTTTGCCATTTGTTTTCGAAAGCTTCTTGTTTGTATCGTGACGAATGCAATTTCTTGATGATACTTTTTTTAAACAAACTCGCTTATAATTTTTCAACGGAAGGAGATAGCAATTTTTTTTCCTCTACAAAATTTGTTCAGTAAAATCAGCTCTTTCCAATTATGCAAAAATATAGGTATGTTTCTGGAAAAAAAGATGACGTCATTACTTCAGCTTACGAATTCAGAAAAATATGCGAATCAGGCCCAAAACGGGCTTTACTCAATCTCATTGAGAAACCTTTTTTCAGATTTTCCCTATCATCTCTCCTTCTCTTATAATAGAGCTGAGACATCGAGTTTTGTTCGCCCTGTACATAGTCACAAAATAAATCAAGTTCAGCAGATTGATCAAACACAAACGAACAGTTGGATAATTCATGGCCCAGTAAGGAATTCATTCAACATTAATATCAATACTTATGTTTAAAAAGGAATATTCTCGGATATAATTATGAACATTAAAAAATGGATATATAATTCATAAAAATATTTGTCAAATAATCCACAAATTCATATTTCGAATAGAAGCACCCATTCAGATGAATTTTTTTAAGATTTCTCTTGAATTCGATATCTCTCAACTGCTTGAGATCAGTAGGTAGGGCATTATACCAGCATATATTGGTGATTTTTTATAGTTAGAGTAACGCGGTTTCTTGAGTCTTATATTAGAATTGTTCCTTGTATTGTAGTTATGGAGGTCTGAATGTTTGTTGAGTGTATTTTTGTTAATGTGAATATATGAAAGTATTTTATATAAGTAGATGCAGGGGGATCAATTTATCATACATCTAAAAACAAATACTAATGTTGTTACTCATTATTCTATGTATTTTGTTCATTTGAATTTCCTGCTGCCTATCTGAAACAACTGTATCTGGCTGGCAGTAAACCAATTTAAGCTGCTTAGTTATAAAAATGTAAAGCTGTTAAAGACCGTCTGACGTATGCATGATCTCGCCTCTCTCGCTGTTCAATCCACCGAGCGTTTTAAAACACCGTGGGATTCTGACACAGGTGCTGATGCTGACTCAGGTATTCATTCCTCCTCTTCCTCGTTCCTCTACCTCTTCTTCTTTCTTTTAGGAATCGCAGGTGAACCCGGCTGGCGCGTTTTGCATCGGTGATCTCTAATGCGATTATGGAAAAAATGGAATATCTTTATGTTCTCGGTGTGCTGTGGATATAAATTAATATCGGTATCAGGTGTGCTTTGCACTTGAAGTTCAGTGGTAATACATGTAGTTTTCTCCACAACTAACCTGAGAAATCACCATTATTCCGTGATTTTCTCTATTGAGAAGTAACACTTTTCAAACTTTGGTGAATAAAATAAATTGATAATGAAATTTTGCCTAGAGTGACTTGATCAATTAAAGTGAAGACAATAGACCTCCGAATGGATGCCGTTTCCGGAATGTCATTCGTGTACAAGTCACTGAATTGCTAAATATCTGAAGGGTATCTCCCATGTAGTAATGAATTTGTGCCTTCGAAGTGCCCACCTGATGTTAGGTTCAGATATTTGCTATTTTAATTCCATCATCTGAATAATTTGAGACTTACGAGTACCAAACGACGGATTATAATCGGTTAATACCCAAGGTACTGACGTATAAAGTTTCATGCCTGATTGTTGGATGTTTTGTGTCCAAAGAGCAAAAAAATGGAGACATAACATTGACAAATGGAATAGAATACGTATAGAACTGAATGGTCTGACCAATCAAAAAGTATACCACTATATATTGACGTAACTCTATTTATAAAGTCAATCTAGATTAAATTGTCAATAGTGTCAATGATACCTATGCAATATACACATATATATACCGATGCGTATGCAACCAATGAAAAATGAAACATTTTTTGAACCAAATATAGTTAAAATTACGAAATTCATTACAGCTGAAAGCAATTTTTCTAGTTATGAAATATGTTTGGAATAATGTGATTATTAATAATACTAGAAATGTCACAACACAAATCATATTATGTGAGCTGTCACTGTCATGTGTGAATTAGAGCAATTCATTAACCATGACTTTCGGTATGGACACATTTTTTGACCAATCGCAACAATTTCAGCTATGGCGGTTAATAAGATATGATTCATTATGTAGACTAGCTCAATGATTTGTCAATGGTGTTATCTGCGATATTCATAAGGCTAGAATATTTGAAAACATTTTAATGAATATCTACTGGATTTCCAATATCAACTTGCAATATTGATCAGTACCTATACTTCCTAACTATAATAGTTCTTCAATCAACCAAATATTTAATTGAATCAAATAAATATTTGATTGAATCAAATAAGCATTTGATTGAATCAAATAAATATTTGATAGAATCAATAACTTGTCATTTTGAATCAAACAAAATTATTGTTTGTATCTCTTGATGAACAATTCATGGATGCGTGCTTGATTGAATAAGATTCTGAGTTCATGCACGATAAAAATTTACTTGATTCAAACTTCAAATTCGCTCTGGAACAAGATATAGATTTACTCATTTCAAGATTATATTGCATGACACTTATATTTGCTCGATTCAATTACATTTTGCTTGATTCAACAATTCCTTTTTTCCCGTGTAGAAAAGTTATTGGAAGTCAGATCGATAGATACATCAAACGCCGGCTATTTTTCTGCTTCTAGTAATTTTAATCGACTAGATTCTTCTTTTCTTCTTCCCCTTCGCATGAGAAATGGATAAGCTTGTCGCATTTCAAGAGATCATTCCTACGTGGGTATGCGAGTCGTTGAAATAAGAAGAATACACTTCAAGAAGCATTGTGAAAGCTCATAACTGCACTATCGAAGGTGTCAATCAGAGATAATAAATAACAGTCGTAATAATAAGATATAATTGCTCGTATCTCAAATTGTTCATCAAAGGTTCACGAGCAATTCTACACGTTTTCGATATTTCTGGTTACAATGTAAGCGATCCATCAAGATCCATATCTGAATATAATTCGATTCGTGTGTTTTATCATATATCCCATTCCTAATCCAATTCCAATAAATCAGCTTATAGAATGTATTTATTATGCACTATCTGATACGGGGTTTTTGTTATTTTTTATCCATAAGGGTAGGTATTATTCACAATGGGGAATGCACTGGCTACTGTGATCCCTCTTCACGCGTCATTTGTCTAGAAATGTGTCAAAGGCAGGGGTCGGATTAGGATGAGGTCTTCATTTGTTTGTCTCCAGTTAAAATAAAAAGCTCTATTCAACTATGAATTTTGATTTTTTTTTTTCGGGAAATAAGAAAGTCATTTTTGGATGTAAGACGAATTGATATCAATCATACAGGACGTGGAAAGAAATTCTAAATTGAGTAAACCTAATCACGAACCTGCGATTGAAAGTCTATAAAAATCACAAGTTTCCATCGTTCAAGTGTAAACCCCTTGATTGGGTGGAAGCATTGAAAAGGAATATTCTCAGATGAATTATGAACTTAAAAAAAATGCAAAAATTGATATACATACAAAGAAATACAGTGAGAACTCGCATTCTCTATTTGATAAAAATAGCAATTCTTTCTCGATTTATTCAACAGAAAACAACTACTTTCCTGGCTATATGCCACGACGAACATTGAAAACACTGAACATTTTTCAGTTCTGGAGAATTAAATTTTGTCGCACTTTTTACGGAAGCACCCCCGTATCTTACATAATTGACTTCATCTTTGGACTTTCTCTTCCTCCTGCAAATTTCAGAACCCTACCTCAATAATTGCATGAGATACGAGGGTGCTTCCATGAGAAGTGAAACAAAATTTGATTTTTCTGAACTGAAAATTTTCTAGGAAAACTATAAATAGTTAGTGAATTGGGCGTCCTGATTCAGAATCCGAAGTGATTTTCATCCCATTTTGACTCCTAATATCATTTTCCGGAAATTGGGGTGGGTCCATGGTTGTTGGCGAGCAGTTCATATCACTGAAGATGACCCCACTTGGTCGTAGAGTGCATTTTTGGTATATCTCTCGCTCCCAGCAAATTTCAGGATCCTTTCCCAACGATTACGTAAGATACAGATTTGTTTCCATAAGAAGTGGGTCACACTGTATGAATAAATGAAAAAAAAATAACATGAATATTGTTTTTTTTTTTTTTCAGATTTGAACTATTGCGGCACCCACGAACCCTGTCTGAACGGCGGCACGTGCGAAAACACAGCGCCGGACAACTACCTGTGCACGTGTCCCGAGGGCTTCTCGGGCGCCAATTGCGAGGTGGTGGACAACCCGTGCGCCCCAGCGCCCTGCCTCCACGGCGGCACGTGTCTGGAGGCGGGCGGATCGTTCAGCTGCGTGTGCGGGAACGGCTGGACGGGGCCCACTTGCAATATAGGTGAGTTGTAGGAAAAAATTCTAGTGAAATAAGAAATTAATCCGATTATGAAATCAAGGAATAAAGAAATTGAGAAGAAATTAGGAAATTAGGAAATTAGGAAATTAGGAAATTAGGAAATTAGGAAATTAGGAAATTAGGAAATTAGGAAATTAGGAAATTAGGAAATTAGGAAATTAGGAAATTAGGAAATTAGGAAATTAGGAAATTAGGAAATTAGGAAATTAGGAAATTAGGAAATTAGGAAATTAGGAAATTAGGAAATTAGATTATTAGGAAATTAGGAAATTACGAAATTACGAAATTACGAAATTGAGAAATTGAGAAATTGAGGAATTGAGAAATTGAGAAATTATGATATTAAGAAATCAAGGAAATGAGAAATTGGGAAATCAAGAAATTGAAAAGTTGAGAAATTAAGTAGTTAGGACATTGAGAAATTGAGAAATTTAGGAATTGATAAATTAGGAAATTAAGAAATTAGGAAATTAGGAAATTAGGAAATTAGGATATTAGTAAATTAGGAAATTAGGAAATCGAGAAATTGAGATATTGAGGAATTCAGGAATTGAGAGATGGAGAAATGGAGGATTGGAGAAATCGAGAAAGTAATTGAGAATTTGAGAAATATGAAATCAAGAAACAAAGAAATCAAGAAATTAATGAAGAAATTGAGGAATTAGGAAATCACGAGATCGATAAATTGAAAAATCAAGGAATGAAAAAATCAAGGAATGAACAAATCAAGAACTTGAGGAATTAAGAAATTACGAAATTGAACAATTAAGAAATTCAAAATTCAAGAAATTAAGCCATTGAATAAAGAAATCAAGGTATTGTGAAATTAAGGAACTATGAAATTGTTAGATTGAGAAATTGAGAAATTGAGAAATTGAGAAATTGAGAAATTGAGAAATTGAGAAATTGAGAAATTGAGAAATTGAGAAATTGAGAAATTGAGGAATTGAGAAATTGAGAAATTGAAATTATTGAATAATTTAGTGAATGAGGCATTGAGAAATTCAATAATTGTGAAATTGAAGAAATAAGAAATCGATGGTTTAAGAAATTGAGGATTAAGAAATTGAGAAATTATGAATTGAGAAATTTTGGAATTGAAAAATCAATAATTGAGGAGTCAAGGAATCAATCAACCGAGAAATTGAGAAATTAAGAAATTATTAAATTGTGACTTTTTGAAATCAAGAAATTAAGAATCCTTGAGAAATGATGCAATTATGCAATAACGAAATGACGAAATAAAGCAACAGAGAAATGGGGTAATAACAAATTGGACATTCAAAGCTGAAGAAATAAAAAATACCAAGTGTTCATCGATTCACAAAATGCGGTGGACCCAGACATTTTGGATCTAATGTTCAATGCTCATATCTAATTTCAATATTCACCAAGATTCAAGGTTGTTTCCTCTTTGAAATATTCATCGATCATTCGAAGAAATCGAGGGGAAAATTAATAATTTCCCAAAATTTTAAGAAAAATAATGTGTACATTACTTGATATTTCGAGCTACTCAATATTTCCATTTTGTACAGAGGCAGTCATTGACACGTCATATCATCCAGAATTGGTGATCAAGTCAAATACTGTTTGCTAACCCGTTTTCAATCCGTCAACGAGACAGATGGTAGCACTTGTGACTAAAGTACCTCCAATGTCACCATACCCAAACCAGTTAATAAGGGATCAGTATTGAAAGATGTTGTATAAAGGGTTTTCATACTGTAAACAAACAAATTCCAACAAAAAGTTCCTTCAATTTCCCACGTTAAAATTGTATTTATTATATAAACATGACTCTGAAGTACTTGAAGTTAATTGCACACCTATATTTCAAACCATCAAAAGTGTCTGTATTATATGGACAAGTGTTACGCTCTATCTCAGTTTATGTTTTATGGTTTTATTGACTTTTTGATTCTTGGGCTACCATATTATAAAATCGTTATTTTGTTAATGTTAGTATATACCTACCTACCTACCTGCCTATAAACTTCTTGATCTTTCATCGAAATAGAAGAATTTACGGCTGTTAGTTTTTATATAATTTAAACAGAGCTGTTTTATCGTCCATTCCTTGTTGAAAGTGGCCATGTTGAGTGTCAAATATTGTGATTTTTAGATAGTTGTGATAGTAAGTACGCATCATTTTCCATTAATTCATCTCTCGAACTCCGTAGAAGTAGAAGGTTATTTATAGAGGTTTCCACAGATCTCTTGATGTTGGCGATTTTGCATCAAATGAAGACGTTAACTGATGTCTCGATTCAACCGTAGACATGGATATATGAAGTCGATACTGATATGGGCATTTAGGAGAGTAGCAATATTTTGAGTCGATTCAATGCAAAGCCGTAGATAAAGTCAAAAGTTTGAAGTGTCGAAATGATTCGCTTTGTGCCAGTTCCCACTGAATTTCAAGTTGACAGTGATATATGTGACGTAACAAATGTTATACTTCAGAGTGTATGTTGTTGATGTAAATCTGTCATCAGTTTGGGCGCAATCTTATTGAAACTCGTGTGGTGGTCTCAAGATTGTTGATACACTAGATACATGGACGCCCATACGAATGTTTAAAAACGATTCTCTTGCAAAAAATCAGTTCAAATCGTTCAATGAATATGATTATCTTCAAAGATCCGAACTGAAGATAATAGAATTTACACGAAATCAAGAGTAAGCTCTCGTCAGATCATAACTCCAGATGTCAATGTCAATTCCAGCTCATCTCAGTCTGTGCTCTAATTGACACAAAGACCCAGCGAGCACAAAAACATCTCAGAGATGTTAAAAGTACGAGATTTCGAGATATTGAACCTCCACTGCGATGTTCTCTTCACACATGAATAGAACTATTATAGAACAGCCAATGTCCGCCGCAGGCGGCAATTATCGAGATGTCCTTGATATGTCACAAAACTACCTTCTCCCTAGTTCTTTTTAAAGCCTTTTCATGGACACAACAGAACATTTTCAACGCGTCTTGCGCACAATAAATCGCTGTAAAAAAACCATTCTTGAGGTACTTTTCTGAAGCCTTTTGTCAAAATGAACTTTTGCATTAGGATTCCATTTCCCTTGAATGAAAAAATGCATTAAAAATAGATTGAACATAAAAATATTTTCTTGATATGAAATTACCTTCTTAATCGGTTTCTGAGTAGTGCTTACTACACACAGACATATAATTGGAAATAGGTTTCCCAATTTTTGAAATGTTCTCCACAATGCATAATTTTGCAACTGCGGAGAAGCTGTGTATTGATGAATTCGTACTTTTATATATTGATTACACTGAGGCACCCAACAACACATCTTGCATCTGATGGTCATTATTACAAACTAAATAAGTCTTCTAACACAATAAACTTCACCAAATTCTTTTTTGTTCGTTAGCAGCGTGATGTGAGCGTGACACGCTGCAAACGCGAATGCCAATTGCGAACAAGAAGAACAAAATCGAAAAGAAATCAGAATTCATCGTATTGTGACGTAAGCATGAGATGTTGTGGTGGGGCAAACAAAGAAAGGGCACAAAAGAACAAAAACAATACTTTCAGTATCCTTCTAAGACCTCTTTGGGAAGTGCATATTACGTCTCAAAATAACATCTTCATGCCAACATTCTCAAAACATCCCAAAACATCCCAGGGATGTTTGTGCTCGCTGGGGATTATGAAGTCATGTTATAACAATCATTCATGAGTAATAAATATGTGGCAAGAATTTTGAATTATGATATTTTGATCATGTCGAGACAAGACACGAGAATCGAGTCGAATATTGCGATGTGAAGAAGACGTTTGTCGGGTGTTTCGTAATTCTCGAATCTACCTATAACGAACTAATAACTCTTCATGTTGCATTGTCTATTATTCGATATCGGTAATTTTTTATCGAGATCCTGCAGATCTTCGTTAATTGAAAGCGAACTGGTTCTCTGCACGATATATCAAAAACAATTTATGCTTCAGCCTCTGTGAGTCCGAGAGACGATCAATAAAAGATATTGAATTAGAACAAATGCCAGCAGTGACAGTTGTTATGCAATTTCTTTTCGATCGTTACTCCATCGTAAATCTGACTGCTTTGGGATCGGCCAATTGCCAATTCTCACAAGGCGGGTAAAGTCCGGTTTTTTTATGATCGCGAAAAAACTAGAGCATACATTCATTCCGCTGATGTGTTGATTCAATATTCAAGTAACCTGTTGCATATACAGTAACGATACTTGGAGCACTGACCCACAATACACGAACATTGGCAAATTTTCTTCTATTCGAAATAATTGTCGCGGTCGTCATAACTCAAACGTTGATCACCCTGTATATTTAATATTTCTTTATGAATGTGGCAAATTGACAACTAAGATCCACCTGTATTCAGCAAGGGAATTTTTGGAATGAACATTTTGGAAGACAAGCCTTCATAAAAATTAAATTCTGATGAAAGAATCATAATTTCCAACCTATAAAATCCCCGGATACCAATTTTGAATGGAATCGGATCATAATTACAAAACTCGTTCGCCATATTGGATCCGCCATCTTGGATTTCTCATTTTTGACGAAAGAATCATAATCTCCGACCCCTAAAACCCCCAGTCACAAATTTTGAATAGAATTGGATCATAATTACAAAACTCGTCTGCCATATTGGAGCCGCCATCTTGAAATTTCCAATTTGACAAAAAAATTATAATTGCCGACCCCAAAAAACTACTATAAAAATTCAACTCTGACGGAAGAATCATAATTTCCAACCCAGAAATCCCCCAGATAACGATTTCGAATGAAATCGAATCATAATTACGAAACTCGTTCGCCATATTGGAGCCGCCATCTTCAAATTTCCAATTTGACAAAAAATCCTAATTGCCGACCCAAAAAACTACCATAAAAATTCAATTCTGACGGAAGAATCATAATTTTCAACCCAGAAACCCCCAGATATCAATTTCAAATGGAATCGAATTACAATTACCACACTCGTTCGCCATATTGGATCAGCCATTTTGAATTTCTCAGTTTCAACGGAAGAATCATAATCTGCGATTCCTACAGAACTCGTCTGCCATATTGGAGCCGCCATCTTGAATTTTCCAATTTGACAAGAAAAACATAATTGTCGACACCAAAAACTACCATAAAAATTCAATTGTGTTGAAATAATCATAATTTCCGACCCAGAAAACCCCCAGATACCAATTATGAATAGAATCGAATCATAATTACAAAACTTATTCGCCATATTGGATCTGCCATCTTGAATACTCCAATTTTGTTTTGTTGTATATATCCATATTATAAACAATAATGTTTCTTGGAGAAATAAAGACAATCAATCAATTAATCAATCAATCAATCAATATTGGAGCCGCCATCTTAAATGTTCCGATTTCGACAGAAGAATCATAATGGGCGTGTACACCTTAGTAGAACTTTTAACTCAAACCATGTTTATAATGATCCTTTTATACATAAATAATGATTGACGACATAATTCGATCGAAGAATTAACTGGAATGTTTTATTTTTGGACATAAATAATAGTACCTTCTGAAAACGGACCCTCTAATGACGTAGAAACCTCATCTCGCCATAGTTAAAACTGACACTCATCACTGTTGCCATATCATCCAAACGGAATATCCGAGATATCGAAATCGATATTGAAATATCTTTTGATATCCACTACCACTACTGCAGAAAAATATATTCAAGTTGTCGATTTTAGGTTGAATCATAGGAATAATATAAACATCCTCTAGACAACGAAATGTCTCAATCTCAAAACCAGTTTCACAATAATCCAATATATTTCATAAACGCAGCAACATTGCTTTGTTGACCCGTTTTACATGGAGCTGCAAAAAGTTAATATAGGTTAGAATTGATCTTCTTCTTGTTCTTATTATCTTTGTCCCAAAAATCAACTTGCCGATTCATCAACCTTCGTGCTTTGTCAGAAATCATGTATCATTCATCTCTGTCTGAAATAGTCTTGTTTCAGTATTAGGGTTTTGACGTCACATCATCGCATCGTTTTCAGAGATCCGAAAAATCGGGGATTTCAATAATTTTTTATAAAACGTAGGGAGCTCACAGCAAGAAACGGTTTGCGGTGGTGAGCTAGTTTGGGTGAGTTCTATCGAATTATGAAATAAAATTTTTTTGTGATATAAGCCCATTGCCGACCCCAAAAAAAACCCAAGCAAATATTAAATAAGTAAATAAATAAATTACAGAGCTACACACAGACACCCACCGGGACAGGTTTAACTAATTAAAAGCTTGTAAAAAAAATCCAAAGTACCATATCTAGTCGTTACCCCCGACAAATTTCGGTGGTAACGATCTAGTGCCGATGAAGTTTTCTGTTCTTGCTGAAGATGTTAGGGATCGAGATCCGCTCAGCCTCCAAATGCTATAATATAAATCTTTTGATTTTGGCACGGCTATCGAACGGAAACCGAAGATCATCCAGCCTGGCAGTCGATCCGTCGATAGATCGATAAGGCAAAGTAAATCGTTGTTCGTGCCGTATAGGTGGCAGCACCTTTGGAATGCGGGGTCATAGGTGGCCGTTCCATCGTTGTGGCGTAATTAAGTCTCTCCGGCGATCGCAGCGCTCCCTACAAAGTAATAGATATAATAACGGGGCGGTGCCGGGGTAGGTAATTGCCGGGTACGGCTCTGATTTATACGTACTTTTAGCCGAGAGAGGAGGCCATGGGACTCGCATCGACTTCCATACTGCGATCGCGAGAACTGCCTACCAGAATATAGGTACCTGTACAGGGTGATTCGATTTTTTTCCCGGCGATGACTAGGTCGCGTGCACGATAACCGACCCTGGAGGTAAAATATTGAAACATAACCTCACTCTTCTGTGAAACATTGAAACACAACCTCAATTTTTTTCTCTCACTCTATTTAAACTTCAGATTCTCCTTGATGTGCAGATTCGAAAATTATATCACTATACAGAGTGGGTCACCGTCGATGGTACATTAGTCGTTTTCGGAGAACGGGACATATGATCATTCTGAAAAGTTGTTCACTCACTATATCTGAAATATTTTCATAAATGCAACTTGTATTTCTATGCATTTTTAGATTCTCCCTGAAAAGCTGATTTCATTAATCCATCAGACTTGGGGTCTAGTGGGAATGATTACAGAGATATAGAGTGTTCAAAATTCAACTTTAGTATTTTTTTGTGTCGAAACTAATCATTTTCAGTGAAAACTGCTTCCATTCGTAACTGATTTACTATCTACTGTAACATTTTGTAGTCTGGCCCTGATGATGGAAATATAACTTTCCGAAAGCTTGGACGAACTTGCATGAGTTTCACTTTTACTTTGCTGCTTCCCCACTACTAAGTTTCATCTATAGACATATATATATATATATAAATTTTTTTATGTTCATAATTTTTCTGAGAATATTCCTTTTCAATACATCTATCTTCAACGAGTACAAGACTGACCATATGTGTGAAAAACACGTAATCATTCATTTGTTTTTGCCTTTCTTTTCCGCCGCCCATGATGGTCATTCGGACGGCTTGTGTATTTAAAAGAACGAGTTTGCTCTATTTCTGGCCGCTTTCTCTCATGAATTCACTTCATTTCATAATTATTAAGAATTTTGATTTCCAACTCACGCACTGTCAATAGCGATCATTAAAGAAATCGAAATCATTCATCAGCCGGGAAATTGGGAAATAAGAATCCATGGCATGCCATATCTCTTTCTTCTCTTACGAGATTGTGCTGGTATTTTGTAAGATAAATCAACTCTTCAACAGTGTAATGAAATTGAAATGCACGTTGATTCAAAACTCATCTGGAAGCCCTGAAAAAAGAAGAAAAAGAATAAGAATAACCTAACTTTAGCACCAGCAGGGTATAAGAGTAACAAAGAGCTAGGTAGATTCCATCTGAAACTAACCCGAGTAGGAGCAAGCAAAACTCTGAGTGGACCAGAATCCTTCTGTGGTATAGCAAGAATTACACAAAAAGCAAAAAGCATGCATCAGATTATGAATGCAAATCAGAATTCGCCAGGACTGAGACAGGTCAAGGAGTTTATCAAAGAATCATGGCCAATATTCACAGAACTATACTTTGTCAGAAAAGTAGTACTACTAGAATAACAGTGGAACTTCTCACAGGGTACTGTAGGCTCAATGAACACATGACCAAGATAGGCTGAAGAACTGCTGTGCAGGTTCTGTCAGGAAGAGGAGAAAACAGTATAGCACACATTTTTTGCCACTGTGAAGACTTGCCAAGACTTATGTTGAATTCATACCCGACTTAACCCACTCCTAACTCAAGAATTAGAGAAGGTGATTGGTGGATTCAGGATTTATATCTGAAATTGACCAATTATCACTCAATATTCTTAAGTTAGGACTAAGTTGAGTCATGCATCAATCCACCATTAGGTTCTTTAAGCTAGGAGAAAAGTAACTTAGAGAGCTCATAGTTACACAGTTAGAGAAGACGGGACTAAAGATAACTTTAATCAATAAAATCTTCTATCACTTATTTGACAAATAATGATTTCTTTCCTGTCTTGTTCGACTTTCTCAGAAATTGGACAAGTCATCAGTGAAAGTATGTATGATCAGTATGATCATCATCTTTTCTGTTACAGATATCAACGAATGTGATTCAGCTCCATGTCAAAATGGAGGTTCCTGCATCGACCTTGAAAACTCCTTCAGATGCAACTGTACTGTTGCTTGGGAAGGCAACGTCTGCCAATTCGGTAAGCTCCATTCTCTTCAACGACTGCTTTGCTCAGCTACATAGATATATCGTCCACAACTTCGAATTTCTCCATTTTTTTTCAGACACAGATGAATGCCTGAACAACCCATGCATCAACGCCGTTTCTTGCACGAATCTTGTTGGCGATTATCACTGCAAGTGTCGCGTGGGATGGATGGGCAAGAATTGCGACCAGAACATCAACGATTGCGTCGGGCAGTGTCAACACGGCGCCACCTGTATAGATCTAGTCAACGATTATCACTGCGCCTGTATGCCCGGTTATACGGGTAAGTGAATTAGATTGGCTAATTTCCATTTAGCGATCAGTCATAATACTCGCTGATATGATATGAGTCTGTGATATGTGAAGATCTGACGCATACGGGCGAACATTCTTATACCTGTCAGGTACAGCAGAAAAGCTGAACAGTGAGAGGTAACTTGTCGGAAATGTGATAATCTTCACTGTCAAATTCTATAACTATTGAGTCATTCATTCATTTCTTACTCGTTTTGTAACAGTTAATGACAGTCTTTTTGGTGGTGAATCGACCAAGGAATAACGCTAACATCTCATCGTCTTGTCAACTTCAAATAGTCTGATGATCTGGTTCTTCCACCAGATTCAAAGCTTCTGAGAGTGTGGGATTGACTCCATCATTCTGGGCCCCTGCTGATTTTTAACCCGTAACATATGCTGTTGAGGTCAGCTTGCATGGACTCCTATTTCTTCATCACATAAAGTTGAAATAGTATGTAGATTGAATACATATAATTCTTATGAACAGATCATAGGGGAAGAACATTTGGTCGGACTGAAGACTACACGGAATTCGTCTATTTTATACGCTGGTCGGACGGAGGACTCAACGGTTTTCGTTTATTTATATAGTCTGATCGGACGGAGGACTGAACGGTTTTCGTTTATTTATATAGTCTGATCGGACGGAGGACTAAACGGTATGACATCGGAATCGATTGGATTAATCAAGTTTGAGTGGCTCGGAGACCATCCGATGGCATAATAAGGTCCTGGAAATAGATTTGCGCGCTCGTGCGAAACGTGGAATAAGCAAGTGTCGTTAAAAGCGTTCTGACGTACGGATGTGTTTGCCGGGCCCCCGTTGGAAAACGACCGATGCGGCGGTGAATTATGCTCACATGCAAACTTATCATCTACTTCGGCACGACTTCACGTAAACTGAATATTATACAATCGTTATCGACACACCCTTTCAACTACTACACATTAATGTCCATTTGGAAATTGCTGACGACAAACTTCGATGGCTTCGCGTGTTCATTCAGAAGAGAATTGTTCTTCCTCCACAAACCGATAGATTTTCATTAAATTTCCTAAAACACAACATGTTTAGTATATACAACTTATACATTGGGTGTTTCGAGTTTGACTTACTTCGTATAATAGTGTTAGCGACGAAACTCAAATCAGTGTGAATGAATGAGTTGAAGTGTGAGAAATGTGTGTCTATCTATGATTTCTCATGGAGTTCATTGATAGATTGAATAGATCGGAAAATACACGAGACAAATAGTTATTTGGAATTTTCTCTGTTTCAGGGAGGGACTGTCATACCGATATTGACGACTGCGAATCCAGCCCATGCAAAAATGGTGGCGAATGTGTGGACCAAGTCAACGGTTACCGTTGCATTTGTCCTGTTGGCATCACTGGAACCGAATGCGAGGTTAGTAACAACAACTCACCTCGTTATTTGACATTGTAAAAGGAAAAAACCTCGAAAACGATAAGAATTTCACGAAATTCAACACAAGTTTAACTAACACAGAAACTTCTAGAAGGAGATACTCGTACAACTAACTAACCTTAACATTGATTTTCCAGACTATACTATGAAATTGTGATAAAACTATAATCTTCTTTCGATATATGGTCGGCGTACGTTGAATTCTTTTTCTTAAAAATCATGTTCATAAATACTGTGATTAAACCCTCTACTTGTTTGACCAATATATTATACCTCAGGACGAGATACTTCTGATTTCTCGAATTTTCCATCGTATTCGGATCTTTTTTCAGTTTATGGTGATTGGTGGAGTGTGAAGTGTGGATAATTTGATAGCCATCTTTTCAATTAGAAGTGAACGAGCAAAGAGCGGTTCTACAGAGAATAATAACAGTCGTTCATCTATTTCTTGCGGCATAGCCATTACTGCTATAATAGTCGCTAAACGCTTTGTAATGATGTTGCTCTTTAGGTGATATTAAATCCTCCAAAGGAACTCCAAGAAACGAAAAAAACAATACAATACATTTTTTGTTTGAATATTTTATCGTCGTTTAGTACATCATCAAAGAAATCAATGGAGAAGTTTACTTCAGTCACATTTTTATTCCTCTGAAATTTATGGAAAACCATTATTGTTTCGATCTTTTATAGGCTCAGATTTCACTTCAGAATAAAAATTGTTCAGGTTTCTCAACTAGAGGGTTATGCATTCTTCTTCTGATTTCAATTTCGTTTTCCCCTCGGGCTTGTTCGGATGTTAAGTTACAAACAGCAAAACCTATTATGCCTATATAATGATTATAATAATAACAATAATGCATATGATTTATTGTCAGAAGAGGAAACCTTATTGACAACGCTTGTTGATAGAAATAAAATTTAAAACAATGAAATAAACAATACTTACAGTTGAAATATTCGAAACCTAATAAAGATGCAGCTCAATCACACTGTTGCACTCTAAAATGAGGATGTAAAATATTTCTGCAAACTATAATAGGGTTGAAATTGGCCATCCTTATATATACTGGTAATTGATTGAACATCTTTCCACCATTATAATATATGGAGTCTTTCGCAAACATCTTCGTAGGTAAGGGAAATTTCAAACTGTTGCTATTGTTACGGGTGATATAGTGACTTGAAGTTGAGATCAATTTCGATTTATGTTCCTTCATGAGGCAAACATACTCAAAAATGAATAGTGAAATCACTGTGAGTATTTTGATATTTGAAAAAGCATTTCTGCAAGACTCACGAGGTCCTTTATTACCCAAATACCACAACTCTTCTTTGTAATACAAGCAATTCGTTTAGTAATGGCTACACGCTCCCCAAAGAGGTAACCCATATAGCAAATAAGAGTCTATAAACACATAATTATGCTGTTTTGGCAGTGTCAAACCCTTAATTCTCTTGAAATCACTTTCACTGCAGAACAGCAGAGTTGCTTGGTGTGTTCGTCAAATTTCAAACTTTTGTCTTTAATAATTTGGTATGATCTTTATATTCTATCGCATTATTATTAAAAGAAATTCCATCAGGCGAGCATCTAAATGATATTATATTTGACTTTTCTATTTTTAATGATAATGAATTAGCATCAATAGCATCACACCAATCATTCATATTTTTTTAAGTCAGTTGATATGATATTTTGAAACACACAATTATTCTTACTGCCACAGTATAGTGGTATCGTCTGCAAAAATGTGTGTGAACTTATCTGCAATGTTAATCTTAGTCAAATCATTAATACCTATACAATAAAACAACGAATAGGGCCCAACACAGATCCCTGAGAAACTCCTGATGCAATTTCTCTCTTCTCAGAGAGGTCTGATGTTTTGAATGATTTCGCCCTGATACGACTACGATTCAAACTCCTTGTAAGTCACTCCTTGGCATCCATAATGATTTAGTTCCTCCAGCAGTATTATGTTATTTACTTACACAGTCAAATCCGAACAGGGAACTTTTTCAATATTTAATTTACGAATTGAATATTGTGAAGTTTCGGAGCATCGACTGGGGATAGTCCTGCACGATTCGCTGTTGCGTTCCAAAGTGGCGCATGGAGTGAGTAACAAAGCCTACACGTGACAGTGTATGTAGGTGGGTGTCAAAAACTACCAGCTGAGCGTGAGAGCAGGCCAATGCTGCTTAGTGGACCTCGGTCTCTAACGGGGGTTACCGGACGTTTATGTTTGGTGGTAGTGAGTACATTACTAGCCTACAAAACACAGCCGAAAAAACTCTGAAAGGGAGCTGATGGACGGTACCTGAAAAGGATGTTAGCCAGCTCTCTTGAGCGAACCACATCACTCATTAAAAACACTTTGGGGTTTGCAAAAAGGTCCCATTAGGGACTAGTTGCTGACGTACAAACGTCCCCCACCAGTACCAGTACATAGTCAAATGCCTTCGATAAATTGGTCTAGTTCGAAAATAAAAATGATTTGAATCATTTGGGCATTCTAGATTGCAAAAACATCATGCTAGTCAGAAGAGAACTTTCCAGTTCATTTTGGATACAGATACATTATTCATGCGTCCGCCTACAACAACTTGTCTAAACGTCATTACGTGACCACCGTACTTTACGGTGGGTTTGCAGCCAGAAAATAAAACAGGTGGTCGAAATTTGAATAACTTCGAGAGTCGAGTCACTTTTCATGCGTGTTGACCTCGCCTTATCTTTGAATGACAATTGACAGGCCGTATACCGATGAAATGTGCCGTGAGAACACGACTGGACCTTGTCAATTTCAAAAATCTGAAAGCATATATTCGATTTTATGCCAGAGAAGTATGATAATTATTATACAATAGATGGATGCCACAAAAGAACTATGTTGCTCATTCCACCAATATGGTGCATCTCACCATAGTGACTTACTTATACAATGTATTGGTGGTGAAACAATTTTTAATTGAAATTAGCAACAGAAAAAGCGAATTAGTGTGGATTTATGCAGCATCAATTATTAACAATAATCAAATAACAATTATCAATTTACAATTATCAATTATGAGTTGAACTTGCTATTTTCAATCACTGTGTTTATGCAGACAATTAACAATTATGCTTTATCAAATAACCAGTAGAAGGTTGGTCAACTATTAACTTTTTACATTAATCAAACCAGGTTTTCTTATTGTACGCAACTAGTACACAGATGACCTTGTAGATGACCGATGATTGGTGTATCCTATGATGGAAACTAACCTCAAAATATTTTCCGGTTTTGTGTTTCTTTTTACTTTTCATCATTCCTATGTCCTATTACCTTGCTTACCTTTGGATCCTACTTTCCCAACCTGAAGGATTAGTTACCTGTGGACAGGTTTGATAAACCTTCATTTTCGAAAATTAGGCACGATATTTACATTAAAATACGGTGTAACGGATTAACCTGTAAGGGTTGATAGCAAATTCATATTATTACCTACTAAGAAAACAAATTCAACAGTTGTGAACTATTGAGGTCTAATTAATCGTTAAGTAAAATACAATTTTTGAATTTGTTGATTTCTAATGATTCAAAATGATTGAGTTTTATTCCTTTATTTTATACGTGTAGAATTTCGAAATTATCATCAAAACTATGGTATTCTTCTAATATATGGCTGGCGTATGTTGAATTTGTTTACTTTTTCAAAAAAATCATCTTATGTTCATGAATACGCTGATTAATCGTACGACCTGTCTGACCGATATATACCGTAGGACAAGATCCACAGTTGAGTTTGTATACCCCTAATTTTTCGAATTTAGAAGTTTCATCTTTATTTTTTTTGTAAATTTGTCAATTGAATATCAATTTTTGTTTATGAGTTGTGACGAAATTAAAAATGGCATTAAGACAGTTCAAAAAAGATATGATTGACGGATTCACCCTCTTTGAAACAGAAAATCAGTACTGCTCTCATCAGTCTTATCGAAAAATGCTGAAAATTCCATATCCTCTCATACAATTTGGTATTGCTCGCTGGTAATTCTTATCCTTTGGGTTCCTCCTAAGTAAATATAATTTAGGCAAATATTCAGTATTTCAATTATTGAAAAAGCTACTGTTTTAGCAATGTCGGATTTTCAACAATATTGTGGAAATCTCATTGCTGGTTAAGTTTTCCACATCATTTCTCTATAAATTCCAATCAAAAAGCTCGAAAATTACCGGATTTAGGAGCAGCAGGCCCGGATTTATTTTCCTTATGAAATCCACTATCGAAACTTTGTTCTGGACGTGTTTTTTTTTTGTAGAACGACTATGACCACTGCAATCCGGATCCATGTCAGAATTCTGCTCCCTGTTTCAAGACGCAATCCGATTACTACTGCCATTGCCCGGAAGGATGGCACGGCAAGAATTGCAGTCAATCGAGGATTTCTTGCGATAATCCGCCTTGTGATGACGGTAAGTTCCAATTTATTATCGTTGGCAGATTCGGGTGATTGCGTGCGAAAAGTGAAGCAACAGGTGCACTTTAGTCCATTCCAACTTAGAAGACAGGATTGGACACCATAGGGAACCGTTGACCTTCGCTTCGATTGGTTTATATTGCAGGCAATATTACACCTGCCTAATATTATGACGTATGACGTGACGTGAATATTGAAGTTTTCATTATGTGAAGATTATCACATCATATACTCTTCCATATTATGATACTCCAACAAATCAACTGTAAAAAGAAACAAACCCATTTTCTTTGGAAGAGCACTACCTATTTAATCGATACTCTCAAAATGTCCTTTTATATCATCAACGAAAAGCTCAAATCAAATTTTATATTAATTAGGAATCCCCAAATTCATGGTTATCACACTAGACAATATGACTTGTTTCATCTTGAAGCTGCAAATTCTGAACTTGGACATAAAAAGTTCATACATGAGGCGATGTCGAAATTAAATGAATTACCAGATGATATCAAAAACAGCCCAAATATTATACAATTCAAAAATAAAGTGACGAACTATATTTTTATAAGGTATGCAGCACATATCAAATCACTTTCAGAATTGTTTGATCTACCATAGAAGACCGCAATGTTTTTCCAATATTGTGATAAAATTGAATACCAAAAGCATTCAATCAAACCGATATCAGATCAGAACAAACCCAAATTAGAAGATTAATAGTTCTTCGAACATCATAAGAATTTCCTTTTGAGCGCTCCAAGAGATACAAAAAATTGTGTCAAATGATGTTTTGATCGACTTCAATAATGTTTTCTCGTTCTCCCTCATTATCCAGATAACTAGATTTACCAATGCTATTCGCTTCTTGTTTCACACACATATTATTGATTCTCTTCGGATGGTTTTCTAGTTGGGAAATACAATGAATCAGTGTCAGATTCAACATACAAAATTATCTATTTATGACGTGTTCTCTCATATCTTGAAATTGAAATACACGCTCGATAATATCGCTCACACACTACAGTAGTAGTTTTGATATATTGTTTTCATCATCCATTTTCACAACTCATTATACGTAATGACTCAATTTATACGATGTAGCAAATTGATATCATACTGAGTTCAATTTTCAGAGCAATTTGTAAAGGATATCGGTGAGATTTAATACATGGAATGCTCCTGTCAATTTGCATTATATGTATTCAATATTTCTTTTAATGAAAAATTTTATACATGTCATATTCAATTCAGGAAGCTCAAAGGTCAAAATAGACAAATTCACCTAAATTCGACCATTTAAAAGTTGCAGAATAACGTAATTCAAAAACTCATGAAATATTTAACCGAGTATTCAACTGATTATTTTCTTCGTATGATTTTAAACCAATCAGAAAGTTCAATTGAGTTGAGCTACCTGTATAATTTCGAATATACGTGGATATACATAAAGTAACTCTGCCAATCAGAAATTTAGAATTATTTCCATAGTGACCAATTCATCTACTCAAAATACATATACATCTCAAACTACCTGCATGATTACAAATCGTGTCAGTTCAACAAAATAAACCTCCCACTTCGCGGTCGGATTATTTCAACTGTCAAACTGACACCCTTTGTAATTATGCAACAAGTTATCGTTGTATAACCCGAATATTTTGAAGTACTTGTAGTATTACTACTGATAATATCCTTGTTATTATGCAACTTGCATTGGGACACTATTTGGTGGATCTATTCCAATCAATTCTACATCCTCTAAGGAAAACGCTCCACTTTGAAAAAATGTTGAAACATTCATACAGAATTCTTCTTGCTTCACTTTCTAAACTTCCTATCAAATTTTTGCAGTCCTTGGTTATTTTTTTTAGAGACTTAATAAGTGTGCGTCAATTAGATGGAATATCGCCGCGATCGGTAGACAAGAAACGGACAGTGGACCGGTCCAGTCTCGGGTCCAGTTCGATTTCTGGCACGGCATGGGGCCACCGGCCCCCCGCGGGTATGCTTCAGGTGTCTCGGGAACCGACCTGTCAACTCGCAATGCGCCGCGGTCCATCGAAAGATTCATACGGCTCGGACGGGTACATTTTTTTTTCAATGAGATACCGTACACTCGGTAGACCTATCGATTATTAGAAGCAGAAGATGTTTGAGTGCTCATTTGGAATAATTGTTCGCAAACGCCTAATCGTATGTGTGGTGGGATGTGTCAATGCGGTAAAGGTTATCACAATACTGCAAACGAAACTACATCATTTTATCCAGAGGACTCCACTATAATTATCCTGAAAAATCACCTCCAATGAGTAATAGCGATACAACAAAGAAAGTTACAGTTTAGTTGAGAATCATGGTTTTCAAAGTGAGCTGGAGTTGCTAGAATCTCCACCATTCTCCCAATTGATATTTTACCATACTTTCTAGTTGGTACAACAAATCTTCTCGTGCATTTATCTATGATCATTTCAAATTGTTTGGAAATGTTACATCTGATTGGTGGAGGAACATACCAGTTCAGCAACAGATATCTCCACCACTGTAAACGATAGACTAGCGTGCAAAGATTTTGTTCTCGAAGATCATTCAATGTTAAAATCAAGTTGTTGTCAGTAGACTATTCCTCATCTTGTGAGTCTCTTAAGCAGCATTTCCTAGGGACTTCAGTATGTCCCAAAGTAAAACCTTGTTTCCTCAGATATCATAATCAGTTCGTGAATGATTTATAAGCTTCTCAACAAAACTACTTCCAAACTAATTGATGTATAAATACTCACGTCCAAAACGGATTTTGCAACTAAACTTTCCAACTCTTCTTCTATGACCATTTTTAATTTATCTCTTTGTAGTCGAACCAATGGTCGAACCATTGATCGTCTAGAAGGTTGTGTCATAACAGCACCAAGATCGATAACCTAGAATGGAATAGCTTCTTTTGTGTGAAATCATTGGGCATCGCAAGTCATTATGAGTGTAGTCGTACAATGCCGCTGATGAAAGATATCAATAGCACCATCTCGTTTATCAGATCTCTATTCACGGCTTATTACTAGCACAGAATTGAATAAGCGTTGTTTGTGTGGGTGTTGTTGGTGATTCAGAATGGCGTATTGTTGTTCACTTGTGAAGATCACAAATTGTAAATGGATGTTTGCAGATATAAATCGTTAGATTTTTTTATGGTCTGTCGATGATGTCTGCAATAATTCTGAATATTTTACTTGTATTTGTTGACAGCCTGAATTCTCTATCTTGTTTTTGTTTTGTAGGTCATAGATTGATAGATTGATACCGAAAATTTTTACAGATTGGGCTAATTTAGAAGACAATTATTCACTGATGATACAACGAACGTTGATCACATAATAGCCATCAGAAAAATGACAACGCAAACGACAAATGGCATTTCCTACTTTATTTGTGCTCGTGCCTTGTGGTGTTGCCATGATTGACTATACAATTAATTCTTACTCTCTAGTATTTTATGCACCTAAGAAAAACTATTGAAGTTTATTATTAGGAATCAGGGTTTCTGACACTTATATTATTATGAGTAAATTATCATGTTATGGAACTTGTTAACTCGGTGAGATATCAAAATTCTGTTCTTTTCAGGTGTGGACAGTTGTGTGATCGTATCGGTAGGAGGAAGCAGAGTTTCAGCACCTAGTTTATGTGGTGAACATGGTCATTGCATCAACCAACCCGGAATCGGTTACAAATGTCAATGTCAGCCGGGATACACGGGAAAATACTGCCACGAAAGTAAGCGAAATGAAAAAGCACTTCCTCGGTGTTCATATTTGGATCATATACAATTCAAATATCTATGAAATCCCGAATACTATAGAAATATTCTTCCAATAAAAGTTCTTATTGGAAAAAAAAACTAGATTCTCCAAAAATTAACTCTTCTCGATATAACTGAAAAACTAAAAACAATCTTTCCTTTTTTCGAATGCCGTTAGTATGACCCTCTGAAAGCGCAACTTTTTTTCCATTTAAAGGAATTTGTATCTCCTTCCGTTTCCGAGACCCCCCATACTGTGCAACTATCTTCATTGACTTATATTTTATAGATATCAACGACTGTAAGATCAACCCTTGTGAAAATGGTGGGACATGCGTGGACAAGGTGAATGCCTTTCAATGCATCTGTATCGAGGGTTGGGAAGGAGCTCTGTGCAACATCAGTGAGTACCAAAACACCAAACCTCTCATCAATCACATAACACCAAATCGTTTTTTCTGCAGACACTGATGATTGTTCTCCGAGTCCATGCCGAAACAACGGCACCTGCATCGATCTGGTGGCGGATTTCGAGTGCGAGTGCAAGAACGGTTGGAAGGGCAAAAGCTGCTCGTTGAAGGACAGCCATTGCGATCACGCGACCTGCAAAAATGGCGGCACCTGTCAGGATTTGGGCAGCACGTTCGTGTGTCGGTGTCCGCCTGATTGGGACGGTAAGATCTATGAAATTATATGAAAATCATGATCGCCATTGTTAGGATTGTATACCCAATAGGGTGGATGGGATGCATTTAAATCTAGTGCGAGTTTATGTAATGTAAAAGATTGTCGAGGAGACATACAAAAAAACATCTTTCAATTTTGATATATGTAGAACTTATAATGTGGAATTAATAAATGCATATAAAACATGGCGCAGTCTCCTTGAAATAGCAATTATAAATATTCAATAAAATCTCTGAGAAATGTATTATAACCCTATTAAAAATAGAAGGAACAATATCCGAAAATTGAAAGATGTTTTTACGAAAAGTTTGTCCCCGCCTTCATTAATATGATATAGGCAAGGGAGAAGTCCCTGAATGTGACTGACTTTCTTGTTTTTTCAGGCACCACTTGTCACATTGCCAAACAAACAGCCTGCCGGTCCAACCCCTGCCTAAACGGTGGCACCTGCGTCAACACCGGCGACTACTACCAGTGCATCTGCAGGGACGGCTTCGAGGGCGACCACTGCCAGGACGACGTGAACGACTGCAGCCCGCAGCCCTGCTACAATGGCGGCAAGTGCATCGACGGCGTCAACTGGTTCCTGTGCGAGTGCGCGGTGGGCTTCACCGGGCCCGATTGCCGCATCAACGTCAACGATTGCGCGTCGAATCCTTGTGGTTATGGGGGTACCTGCATCGACGACATTGGCGATTTCAAGTGTATTTGCCCGGCTGGGAGGAAAGGGAAGCGGTGTAACGGTGAGTTTTTCGCTTTAAGGGTGATTTGGCGCCCAACGTGGGGTTTTTACAATGGTCACCAGCAACCCTGTTTCATAGGAATTGTAGGAATTGGGGTATTTCGAATGGATGAATGGGTGTTCCAAATGTGATCATTCGGTGTTTATAGCTTTAGCTCTATTTTCAATTGTCAGGAGCCTGTTTCTAAATGTTGATGTAATTTGGCGTCCAATGTAGGGCACATCCACAAAAATCGATCAAATGGAAGTTGAGAGGAATTTCAGGTGCACCACGGAATAGCTTTCAGAAGTTTCTGGGTTGGAGAAAAATTTGGAACACTCCATGTTCACTGCTTATTTTTATCATCTTGTGCCTCTTTTCCATGGAAGATGAGAAATTATTGATAGTGTTTAGTGGTCTCAATTGATTCGAATTAGAAGATATTCACGATGATGATTGACGTTTTGATACGACTTGATGCGACTGCTTTCATTCATCATATATTTTTATTGTCTTTTTTGACGTTTTGATACGACTTGATGCGACTGCTTTCATTCATCATATATTTTTATTGTCTTTTTCGACACCACTTAATACTCGACTGTTGCACAAGCTAAATATTAAATATGGCGCCCAACATTGGGCCAGTCACTCAGTTTTATGTAGCTACCGACTACGGAATGATTGGCACCCTTGGAGCTTCTCCAAGGGTACTTCACGAAATATGGCGCCCAAGGTAGGGTTCTTCACATGGGGTCAGTCACTTAGTTTCAACAGAATGAGTGACCCTTAGAACATCTTCAAGCTTCCTTAGTGAAATGTCTCGCCTAAGGTGGGTTCATCACTAAATCAACAGACTTCAATTGGAAAATGGATTATTTCTCGATTCGTGACGTTCAACCTTGATACTTGACTGTTGCACAAGGTAACTGAGTGAAATATGGCGCTCAACATGGGTCCAGTCACAGTTTCAACATATAGCTACTAACTATAAAGTGATTCACCCTTGGAACTCGTACAAGCTTTTATAGTGAAATATGGCGCCCAAGGTGGGGCTGTCTTCACTAGACCAACAGAATTTGGATGTTTTCTCGACTCTTAACGTTCAAACTCACTTACAGTCGACGATCTAGCCTACCTACCGTCTGCCGGCAGCTGCCCCTGGAACAGCCGGACGCTGGAAAACAACGTCACGTGGCAGCACGAGTGCAACGCGTGCTCGTGCACTAACGGCGCCGTCAAGTGCACCAGAGTATGGTGTGGCATGGGGAATTGTCGCACGTCCAACCAGCAGAACGCTATGTGCACCCTGACGCAAGTGTGCGTCCCGACGTCTATGGAGTCGTGCTTGGCGCCGCCATGTTTGCCGTACGGGGAGTGCAGGGATTTGGAGAGCGGAAGGAGGGTGAAACCGCCTCTGGTGAGTAAAATATTGATAATAATTGTATATAATTAGATTAGATTTAGAATGGGGCCTTCGGGCTATCTGCCTCCACACCGCGGCCTTTTTAGATCTATTGTGTCTGCCCTCAAAATCGATTCTTCGGCTAACCTCGTGTTCTCTATGAGACTCTATAGGCTAGCTTTCAGATCCCCTGTGTATCTTTGGGCTTCTGGTTTTTCCTCACCCAGGGAAAGGAACCTGAAGGTTTGTTTAAGAACTATTCACTCTCTTGTAATTGAATATTCATTTTTTGTGATTTGCCTGATTTAATTGAGATTGAAAAAAAAGGGAGGAACCTTATCACAATTGGAAAAAAAACGCTACATATTTAGTTTTTGATCCTTATTACAAGTTCCCAAACATTACCTAAAGAATAAGTACCGAACGAACCTTGACTTTTCATAAAAATATTATATATAAATAAAAACAATTGGAACTTGTGTTATTTTGACCTGAAAAATGAGTTCTTGAAATCTTTATACTCAATTTTGAAACCCACTGTATATCATATAACCATACAAATATCTATCTATCACTATCTATCAAGCATCGAACATATTGGTCCTTCGAGCCGGATCTATTCAAATAAAATCTTCGAGAGTGCCAAGTTCTACCAAGGACTACCTGGAGTAACAGTGAATGCCAAGCAGCTGGAACTGGAACTGGAACACCTGAATGAATTATTGGCTTTTTTCAGGGAATTATAAGACCTGTCAACCTGTGAACCTCGAGTACTTGACTGATTATTTTCCAGGTTCCGGCACCCAGCAGCTGCTGGCCCAACCAAGCGGTGCTGAGCAACACGTGCGCCCGGCTGACCTTGCTGCTCGACAGGGTGAAGCTGCCGCAAGGCATCACCGTGGAAGGGCTGTGCGGGGACCTGAGGCGGCTGCTGGCTACTCAGCAGGCCGTCGAAGGGCTGCAAGACAAGTTGGTGCTGCTCTGCGATCTCAAGACCGGCTACAACGATACCGTCGAGGTCACTTTGGTGAGTCAAATTCTCACTTATAATATTGTCACAAACTGTAGGCGGGGGTTGCCTAAGTTGTGCTCTAGATCCATCAGAGAATGAACTTCAAAAGTGAGAATAATAAATAATACTCAGAAGGTTTTCAAACAAAACACATACACACATTTATTCTTTGATTTATGATTAACAATTAATAAAATACCCTATTTGTACAAATGAACGTATTATATTCCTGTGAGGAAAGGCATCTTCTGTTCTGCCCGAACTCCGAAGATTCGGGCACAGTGGCAACTTTACAAACTCACAATCGGTAGAACTTAGACTTCCTTAACTCGTATAATAAAACCAGAGCTAGAACTCGAACTAGCAGTCCAACTCGCAGTCGAACTGGTAGTCGAACTGTCGAACCCGATTCCTTACGTTTTTTAAATAGTTGTCTATATTTTAGGAAACGTGACAGTAAGGAAATCAGTTCGATAGTCCAGGTTCGTTGAAGTCAATGTCACACCTGGTTTTATGTTCAACTACTATGAATAAAAAACCCGTTCACGATTCGAAAATTTTGGAATTATTAAACAAAGACGTGACCGTTCAATGACTTCAAACCTTTTGTGAATTTAAATGAAATTTAGGAAAATAACCCTATTCCCGGGTATTAATTGAAGCTAAAGTGGTATTCGGTAAGAAAATTTCACAACCAAACATTTCGATCAATTTAAAGGAATTTCAACAACACTTAGATGATTTAGTTGAAGAAATGTGAGAACCAACGTATAATAACAACATGTGTTTTTGTAAATTTCGAATTTACAAGTATACCTACATAATATTATATGGTAAACTGTTGATAAATGATTTTTATATATTGACTCATGGAATGAACTCGTAATAATCTGAAGTTGAATGTAAACGTCAAAAAATTTCGAAACTAAAAATACAATGAGATCAATTCTAACTCGGACGAAACCGAAAAATGAAGAACAATCGTCAAAAAATTGTATTTACAGTACCTACCATTCGCGATTTCATCCAGTTATCCGTGTTTGACGTTCTTCAACATCATTGGCGTATACTTTCAAATGATTTTTGAATGAATCACAGTGTCTATAATATTGTTATTCATTCTGAGATGAAATTGTTGATGTATTGGATGGTCGCTGCATACTGCCCGACTTGGAAACCATTTTTCATTCATCATCCATCTGACTAGCTGTTTTTTCTGTTTCCAGTCTGGCGATCACTGGGTGTTGGACGGCATCCGGGTGGTAGGCGAAGCCATATCGCGCAAGCAAACCACCCTTCTGGCCCTCACCTCCATAGTCGAGGTCAAAGTGGAGACTGCCCTCGTGTCCGAGGACCAGCGGCAGAGCAACAGGTACATTAATCAGTCAATCAATCAATTTTATTATTACCAAGAAACAACATTTTTTTATACCAGACTTTAACTGGAATAAATTTGTTAGCGACGAGGTGAATATGTTTTCTAAAAATTACCGACATATGTCAACGACATTGAATTGATTCCAGAAGTCTCCACCCTGTATTCAATAAAATAAAGAAGACAATATAGTAAGACTCAGACTCAAGAAGTCATAATGAATCTTTTTAAAGTTCATCTAAAAGTGATTCTTGATATTGATTCAGCTGTTAGGTAATGAATGCTTTTGGCATTGAATTGAAACAGTTTCAGACATTTCGAGCTTGTTAACTTGCTTTGTTGATAGATAACTGAAGAGAAAGCATCCAACAGTTTAGCATACAAAACGAAAACAGAGTTTTCATTCATAAACACCAACCAGTGGTTCATTCGCTTTTTGGTATTATACAGGGTCACTGATATGTATGGAAACAAGTGAATATCTCAGTAACCTGTTGTTGTATTTTTTTGAATTTATGTAATGTCTGATTTCAAAACGTGGCGAATTTGAAAATGTTATAGCCAATGTTGCCACTTTTTCAGTTATTACGTATTTTACATTAACTTCCTCATTTTGAATGGAACACCCTGTACCTTATTGAATTTTCAGATTCTCCTTGGAAAGCTGATTTCATCGATCTATCACACTTGGGGTCTAGCGGAAATGGGTACATAGGTATAGGGTGTTTAAAATCTAGATTTTTTCAACTCTAGGACTTTTTTGTGTCGAAATTATTCATTATCGATCAGAACCGCTCCAATGTTCCTATCTTTACTTTTGATTTACTATCTACTGACATTTAATTGAAACAAATACAGGGTGGTTCAAGATTCAGAATTCTGATCACCCTCTGTATCTGTTCCAATTAAATGTCAGTAGATAGTAGGTCAAAATTAAAGATAGGAACATTAGAGCGGTTTTGATCGATAATGGATAGTTTCGACACAAAAAATTCCAAAAGTTGAAAAATCTTGATTTTGAACACCCTATACCTATGTAATCATTCCCGCTAGAGCCCAAGTGTGATAGATCGATGGAATCAGCTCTTCAATGAGAATCTGAAACTCTAATAGAGTAAAGGGTGTTTTATTCAAAATAAGGAAGTCCTAAAAAATCCGGAATAACTGAAAAAGTGGCAACATTGGCTATAACATTTTCAAATCTGCCACGTTTTGAAATCACACTGTACATAAATTCAAAAAAATCTAACAACAGGTCACCGAGATATTCACCTGTTTCCATACATATCAGCGACCCTGTATATCTATCGACATTCAACAGGTACCTCATCGCGCTCGTCTGTTTCGTGATCGTCGGCGCGTGCGCGGCTGCTGCGGTGGCCGTGCTGTATTTGCGTCAGCGCAGGAGGAATTTGGGCCTGAGCGGCGTCAATTTGTCACCGTCAAGTGACAGCTGTCACAGAAACCACGAGGACGAGAAGTCGAACAATTTGCAGAACGAGGAGAATCTCAGGTAGGTGTTGGTTTTTTTTCAATTCTCTGATTTTATTTCGGTATCCTGCCATAATTTTTTTCGAAATGAATGTCTTCCTTGTAACTGTTATGCAACCTATAATTTTGCTCCATACAGAAGCCGCCGTACTCAAATTCGCTCTATATTTTGCGCTCACAACGACTTCCCACATACCCTGGCAACCAGATGACGTTTGAGTGACGTCTATTTACGTCAGTGGAATGACCAAGGTGGCGTTAGGAGTTGACGTCGTATGACGTGATAAATGACGTGAATAAGTCACAACCCAATGACGTCATATTACTTACGTTTATTAACGTCATTCACTCACCAAACTGTGACGTCGGGCTGACGTCAAAATGACGTTCAAATTTGGTAATGACACGTAAAAAAGTTTACTCGAACATGGTGTGATAATCACCACTGACCTCTGATGACAAATAATATTGATTATGCATTTGTTGGGTCTGCTTGGTGGTCCCTCCGGTGTCATGTCCATTCAATCGTATTTGTATAAAAAATTATGTAGTTTATGTCGGCGAGATGTAAGCAAACCAAAAATAGTTTGATAGCAATGAAAAGGATGTTGACGAATTTAGCTTCACTTTGTTGAGTAAAAATCTAAATAGCAAATTATTGAAAACTTTTCTGAATGGCGAAGCTCACCAAATTGGTACGTCACACCGACGTGATGTTCAGACGTCATAGATGCGTCACTGCAACGTCATTGAAGTGACGGTTTCAATATAGGTACACCTATATTATCATTTGTATATATACATATATAGCTTGATTGGTTTCCATGATATACAGGATGTCAAAAAGTTCAAGAAAAGTTTTCTCTTACTTTTTGGGTACATATAATTCCAATAAAACTTGCATGTTGATTTGTTTCCATGAGTTCTACTTCTATCGACGTAAGAAACATATATATAAAATTACCAAGACGTACAAGTTTCTATGTATGTGTGTAAAATTAATGAAAAAAAAAATTCTTCTGATAACTTTTTGACACTGAAAATGCCCATCCTGTATATATAGGTATGTCACAAAACTAACGGTTTCACAATGTAAGTATAAATGGTTCAGATATGGTCTGAGAAACATGGACGTCGACAGAATGTATCTGCAACGTCATGAAACTAACGTCTTATTTTACCCTTCTAAGTGACGATAACTCCATGTCGAGATGATGACGTGATTCTCACGTCATAGAAAGTACGTCATAGTGACGTCATAAATTGGTGTGTGACGTCACTGATGAAAAATCACCAATTAGGGACGTCACAGTGACGTGATCATTCGTCATATGGTTGCCTGGGTACTTTGGTGATTATGAATTTTACAAAAGAAAAAAAATTAACTGGATTCCCTCTCCATTTCCAGGCGGTACGCCAACCCCTTGAAAGACGACGCGGGCAGCCTGGCCAGCATCAACTCGGCCATCGACCTGCCGCCCCGCGTCAGTCTAGTCCGCCCCATCTCCACCGTCCTGCCACTCGACTCCGCCTCCAGCGAGATGCTCGAGATGATCTCGGAGACAGACTGCCCGGGCGTGCGCAAGACGATGCGTGGCCTGCCCGGCCGCAGCGCGAGTCCCGACGGGGCGGCCAAGATTTGCGCGAGTCTGGGCGGGGCGGCCAAATTCAGCGCGAGTCTGGACGGAGCGGCCAAATTTAGCGCGAGTCTGGACGGGGCGGCCAAATTGAACGACCAGATTATGCTGTTCAAGGCGCAGAACGCGGATGTGAGGAAGAACACGGCTACTGCGTTCGAGGGGGCGAAGGATTTCAGCAAGAGTATTATCAATGTGAACAAGCAGAGGACTGCGCAGCAACAGAGTGGGGGCGGTGGGGGTGATGTGCTTACGGTGCTTGTGTGAGAGGTGAGGGGGTGGTTTTTTTCTTGCTAGGTTGATTGGCGGTTCTCGGTTTTGTTGTGGGTTTTCGGAGGAGCCGATTTTCATGAAGTGATACGGATTTTCATTTGACATCAGTTTGAAACGATGATATTATTACGAAATGCTCGAGTAGCTTCTTCCTACAATGAATTTTGTTGGCGTTCTCTGGAATATTCGTAGAAATGACAAATCGAATGATTTGTCACTGTGTTGAAACAATTTCAATAACCAACATTTAATGAATATGTGCATCTCTGAGAGGGGTCAAGATCATTAGTGCGAATGTCAGCAATTCACAGTTGAAAAGGCGGGAGTTTTGAAATCATATGCTGCAATCCAATGCCTCATCTTGACTAAAGAAAAAACGTATATGTGGATTTTGTCGGTCAATCATAAGGGCAGTAGAAACTGATGTTGTTAATGATATTATTTCTAAACATTATCGCAAATTTGTGAATGAATGATTTGATTTAAACGCATTGAAACAAAAGTGATCAGTGTGAAGGAAATAGATATTTAAATCGCTATGTTTCTTTTTGCGGGATCTCACTTTGCTCATGACGCGGTTCCTAGCTGGTTGTACAATATTCTTTCAAATTCTGATGAAAAATTTTGCTTGGAGATATAAAGATCAGTTTACATGAGTTCTGCCGATTTTAGTAGGTAATAAGTTGACGATATGCTCCCGAATCAGCGACGAAATTCACGAAATAGATATTTTATCTTAATTAGTGGAAAATGACTGATTAGTCCATCCATATTTTCATTACAGAACTGCTGTTGAAATGAACATTTCAGCATCGTTGGTGAAACATTTCACAACAGGTACCCGTATAGCACGTTCTGGGGACGTCCATTTTAGGTCCGATTTAGGTCTGAACGTCCGGGACCTTTTCAAGACGTACTGAAAACGTCCATTTCTAGACGTACTGGGTACGTATGATTCCGATGTACTGAGTACGTCCAACTCTGGACGTTATCGACTTTTTGTGGACGGGATTGAATAAATTGTGTAATGATAATTGAAATCATTCCTTATAATTTCTACCGTCGATCCCTCTGATATCTATTCATATAGGAACCTGGCAAACATGAACATGATACAATTCTCACAACTTATTATTTTCGGGCCGTACCTAATCACAAAATATCTTTTTAACCTTCAATCAGTTTGAGAAGTCAAACTTGAAAAAATACTAGTTATTGAAAAAGAAAATCAACCACCCAGCCAACCATGAGATGTATAAGTGATGTATACGCCACATCACTTTGTGACACGCGTTATCGCATTTGAAGTTACAAACATGTTACCGATACAACGTGGCGATGTGAAAATGTCCGACCCAAACAACATCACTGTGACGTCGTTCAGACATGAAATGCGATATCACATGAAAAATCACTACCAGGTCACATACAAGTGTACATTTCATATTTCGAATACATCACAATGCGACATCGATGATGTGATCGCCGTACCTGTGATATTCGTGGGATATATAATAATAATATTCATTCAACTTTTCGAAGAAAATGTTTATTTTCCGATAGTAAAAACAGATGATACAAAACTTATCATGACAATCACCCTTATTAGTAATCTTGAAGTAAAACATGACACATATATATAGCAATACAAATATACATTATTCATAAATGATACATATCAAATACACTTACATTATCTTGGGATCTTTCATCCATCTTGTATTAGATTGCAATATTCCTATCTCAGAGATAATTACAATATTACCTATTGTGATTGAACTCACCGTCATTCCTAAATGATTGTTTACCTCCAATTTGAAGCTGCTATAATATGTGCTATAAATCATCTCAGATATTTCAACAGAGAATTTGGAAGGAAATAGTCTGTACGGAGTCGGACTCACTCACTTACTGACTGACTGACTGACATGGCCATGCACAGATAAACATGGCGTCTGGCGTGTGCGTTCGTTTTGCGCATGTCTGCGTCACACTCACAGGTCACAAAGATATCTCATGAGGATATCAATGTGAATTATTTAGTTAACGTCGAAGAGATGTAGTTTTAAGAAGTCGCTGTCACATTACATTCCTGGTTGCGATGTCACTTTGCGACGTTGATATCGAATCTACGTCGATAGGATGTGTTAACGAGATATTGCATTTATGCAAGGTTGTTACATCACACAGATGTTGATGTCACGCGATGGTTGGCTGGGCAGGTAGGTACATTCAAAATGAACGTCTCTATACATATACACTTGATAGGAAGCACTCAAAGACCTCTTTCAGTTGTGTTGGCCTTTAAATTATCCATAATGAGATGGTATATTCCAGATGAACACCTCACATTCTTCCAGTGTATACAAGTTAATCCACTGCATCTTAGTAGTCTGATATTTAGGAAACCTCAAAACATATGATCATCAACTATTAATTGTATGGAAATCATAAGTATTGAAGCAGAGTTGAATTACCAATTTTTTTTCCAGAGTGTCACTGATTAAGACGGAATCATTCTCTTTTATGTTTCTAATTGTAAATGTTTTTCGGAGCAGTGATGAATCATCTGATTTTACCTCTCAACAGGTGTAATAAAACTCATATTGTCATTCATTATCATTAATAATATGAATTTCCTCCTTGATTAATCAACAAACAGATATATTATCTATGGTCAAAGTTTTTATTAGCTACATTGAATAAAAAACATCATAGATCTCTTCTGAAAACCTACAATCACATTTTCAATTATCAATTAAATGTAAGGCAAAAACAATTTTAATATCATTATGAACCGAAAGCCAATATGAAGTTGAGGATTTCAATAATCAATTATTGATTGATATCTCGCGGCAGTCTAATTTTTTTTTATTTTGTGCAATTTTAGTTTTTAGGACAGATTTCAAATTTTTTTACCCAACTGCTGATCGAGTGGAAAAATGATTGTGATATTGAAATTCGCAATTTCGACGATACTTTACCCTCACCTCAAAAGACGAAAAACTGTTCCAATGACTCTTAACTTGAAGTGATACGTGGAGAATTTGATCTCGTGATTAGAAAAAACACCTGGTGACACAAACGAAGTGTTTATAAATAGTGTGATATTATTTAATATTTGATTTGTTTTTTTATTGATGCAAAGTGAGGCAGAACATGCTTATGTTTTGCCCCACTCTGTATGAATTGTTAGAATTTTGCAAATTAATTTTATTTAAATTTAATTCTGCACGTCAGAATAAATGTGTATATACTGATTTTTATTTTGTTTTTTGTATTTATTGTCTCATTGTTCCTGATTTCTATCACATTTAAGTTTGTTTCAACGATCAACTTATTTTATATTTTTTATGTAACTTTGTTTCCATCTTTTCTCTATGAATCACCTTAGTATAATAATTTATTTCTGATGATTTTAACTTTTTGAGCTAAACGAATCGAAATGCATCAATTTATCACAAAGTGTATTTTTTTTCTATTCGAAAATTTATTTTGAAAAAACCCAAAGTTACTCAACTTCAATAAAGTATGGAAAAAATACACTTAGTATGCCATTTTGTATATATTGTAAATAGTTTCACAACATTTTTCGATACAGTGGATCATATCTCAAGCTTCTTTTTATTTTCAAGTGCTATGGACAACTAACAGGGTGTCTCAGAAGGTATGTCTTAAGATAATTTTGAATCTACAGGGTGACATAGAAAAAAGTACATTGCATAGTGCCACACAATGGAGGATACTAAAATAAGAAAAGAAGTTCCTATGAACATGGGTCCGCAAGGCCTCCGGTTGAAAGATACGGGGTGGGGTGTTGAATTTAATTTTTTTTTTTGGGTTTTCTTTGAATATCTTCAGCCAGAGACGCAAGGAATTGATGAAATGTGGTATACAGGGGTTTTTTATCATGCTAAATTCAAATATGATCTAAGTTTTGTGATGACTGATAGAGGGCGCTACATACAGGGTTCCATCCCTATTGAATCGGTCGTAACTTTTTTGCTATACACTGTATGTCATTTTCGACGGAAAAAATTTGTTTTCCCTTCTTCTATACTTAAGAAAGGTATACCTTGTACAAGTCGCTAGAAGCAATGGTTCCAGTACAAATGCACTTAAAAGCCGACAATGCATGTTGAATATATCCAGGAACTATCTGAAGGATTCTATTCAACGGTATATATGAATCTTTTGTGATTCCAAAGACAAAAATGACTGTTCAAACTTTTTTATTTATTTGACAACATCAATCAAAATTATTTTCTGAAAACAAAACCTGATACATGTAACTATATACAGAGCATCTATAAGGTGAAATATAAATAATTAACATTCTCCAGCCTCCAAGAAAAGTAATTTGTTGACTGAGCGAACGAAGTTCCCATTTTTGGTATTTACTTCCACCGTTCGAACTTGTCCATCAGAACCCGGAAACAATTTTGTGACTCTTCCAAGTCTCCGATGGTTTTTGTTAGATTCATCTGGAATGGCGATTATACTTCCGATGGTTATATTTAAGCTTTTATCAAACCATTTAGTCCTCTTCTGTAGATTTGGTAAGTATTCTTTCATCCACCTCTGCCAGAATCGATCTGCTAGGCATTGGGAGACACGCCATTGTTTTCTTCCGTAAATGTCACCAGCTTTGAAAACTCCAGGTATGTTTTCAGTGTTTGCACTTCCTATAAGAAAATGCATCGGGGTTAATGCTCCTATTTCGCCACTATTTGCATCACCAGGAACGTGACTTATTGGTCGGGTATTGACTGTTCTCTCAGCCTCTAATAACAATGTCATCAGCAGTTCTTCTGAAGGATATTGTTCCTTCAAAGTATTGTATAGTACATTTTTTACTGTGCGAATTAACCTCTCCCAAACACCTCCTCTATTTGGAGCCAATGGTGCATTAAACACCCATTTTATTTTGAATTTTGATAATCCGGCTCGAAGGACCAACTGTTGAATATATCCAGGAACTATCTAAAGGATTCTATTCAACGGTATATATGAATCTTTTGTGATTCCAAAGACAAAAATGACTGTTCAAACTTTTTTATTTATTTGACAACATCAATCAAAATTATTTTTCTAAAAACAAAACCTGACACCTGTAACTAACAGAGCATCTATAAGGTGAAATATAAATATAAACAATGCACGCAAATTATTCAAAAAGCGCTAAAGTAACTTTCGCAAAAACAATGATAAATACTTCAAC